AGGAGCAATGGGGGCACTGCTGCCAGAGCTGCTGCAGGAGCTGGGGCTGCACAAATCCAATTAACAGGTGCTGTGCTAATTGGGATCTCTGACAGCCACCTGGCCCCTTCTGCTCCAGCCTTTCCTGGAGGAGGAGGGAGGAATTCTTCCTCTTTTCCAGCTTTGCTGTTGCTGGGAGCATTTTTAAAATGCTTCTATGAGAAGCACAAAGCAGCAGGGAGAATAAAATATCCAATATTTGTGAGCTGGAATTCACCTGTTGGTTGGAATTCTGCAGCCCAGGAAATCTTGGGCTCAGCATTCCAACAGGAAAAACTCTGATTTCTCACTCAGAGGTGACAAATATTTGTGCGATTAGGAGAAAGAAATTCTGAATTTTTTTATTCCTGTGGCCATCCCCATGCTGGGAAAAAAAAATAAAATAAAGATTTCAGCCTGTGCTGGTTTTTCTCTTTAAGAATTAACAGGATCCTGATAATCTTTACCTTGGGGGGGTTTTTTGGGTTTTTTTTGGCAGGTAAACGGCGAAAATCTTCTCCCAAACCTCTTGTTCTGAGTGAAGCTAAAAAGCAGTTGCTGATCTACAGACTACCTCAGGTCCTCCGGCTGCACCTTAAACGCTTCAGGTGAGGCTCTGAGGACATTTTTGGGGAAAAAAATGACCAAAAATGGGCCTTTAAATACCCTCAGTCGCTGCTCAAATCAGTTGTGGAACTTCTGAGCCATCACATTTGTGAAACCCCCTGGTGTTGCCTCTTTGCAGGGTTTTTTTTTCTGCCACAATTTAATATTTTGTGCATTTAATCCTTAATTTCTTCGGGTTTTAATCAAGTTTGCAGGCAGCTTGGAAGGAGAAGTCAGAGTGAAAAGTGGGAGATGGAGAGAATTCAGGGCCAATATTGATTGGCTGTTTACCTGTGGAACAGAAAGCAGAAAAAGCTCAAAATATGAGGAAAAGTCTCTGAAAAAGTGGTTAGGGTGGGTGTAGGGGGGTTTTATGGGTAGCACTGAGGATTTTAAAGGTGTTCAGAGGAGAAATCTGGCTCAAAAATATCCCAGCTACAATAAAAAATATCAATGGCAAAGGGAGGTTTTGGGGTGAAACCCCTGGATTTGGTGACACTGAGCACCCTGAGTGTGGGGTTTGTGTGTTTGGGGTTCCTGTAGGAGATTTTGGTTCAAAACCCCCAGATTTGGTTCTGCTGAGCCCCCTGAGTGTGGGATTTATGTATTTGGGGGTTTCCTGCAGGGAATTTTGGACCAAAACCCCTGGATTTGGTTCTGCTGAGCACTTTGAATGTGGGATTTGTGTTTGGGGGGCTCCTGCAGAGGATTTTGGTTCAAAACCCCCAGATTTGGTTCTGCTGAGCACCTTGAGTTTGGCCTTTGTGTGTTTGGGGGGTTTTTGCAGCAGATTTTGGTTCAAACCCCCAGATTTGGTTCTGCTGAGCACCCTGAGGACAGGATTTGTGTGTTTGGGGCATTCCTGCAGAGAATTCTGATTGAAACCCCCAGATTTGGTTCTGCTGAGCACCCTGACTGTGGCATGTTTGTTTGGGGCATTCCTGCAGGGAATTCTGATTCAAGCCCCCAGGTTTGGTTCTGCTGAGCACCCTGAGGACAGGATTTGTGTGTTTGGGGGGTTTTTGCAGCGGATTTTGATTCAAACCCCCCAGGTTTGGTTCTGCTGAGCACCCTGACTGTGGGATCTGTGTGTTTGGGGCATTCCTGCAGGGAATTTTGGTTCAAACCCCCAGGTTTGGTTCTGCTGAGCACCCTGAGGACAGGATTTGTGTGTTTGGGGGGTTTTTGCAGCGGATTTTGGTTCAAACCCCCCAGGTTTGGTTCTGCTGAGCACCCTGACTGTGGGATCTGTTTGGGGCATTCCTGCAGGGAATTCTGATTGAAACCCCCAGATTTGGTTCTGCTGAGCACCCTGAGGACAGGATTTGTGTGTTTGGGGGGTTTTTGCAGCGGATTTTGGTTCAAACCCCCCAGGTTTGGTTCTGCTGAGCACCCTGACTGTGGGATCTGTGTGTTTGGGGCATTCCTGCAGAGAATTTTGATTCAAGCCCCCAGGTTTGGTTCTGCTGAGCACCCTGAGGACAGGATTTGTGTGTTTGGGGCATTCCTGCAGGGAATTCTGATTGAAACCCCCAGGTTTGGTTCTGCTGAGCACCCTGACTGTGGGATCTGTGTGTTTGGGGCATTCCTGCAGGGAATTTTGGTTCAAACCCCCAGGTTTGGTTCTGCTGAGCACCCTGACTGTGGGATTTGTGTGTTTGGGGGGGTTTTTGCAGCGGATTTTGATTGAAACCCCCAGGTTTGGTTCTGCTGAGCACCCTGAGGACAGGATCTGTGTGTTTGGGGGGGTTTTTGCAGTGGATTTTGGTTCAAACCCCCAGGTTTGGTTCTGCTGAGCACCCTGACTGTGGGATCTGTGTTTGCAGGTGGTCTGAGCGCAATCACCGCGAGAAGATCGGGGTCCATGTCCTCTTTGAGCAGGTATTAAACATGGAACCTTACTGCTGCAGGGACTCTGTGCCCTCCCTTGCCACAGATTCCTGTGTCTATGACCTCTCAGCTGTGGTGATGCATCACGGGAAGGGCTTTGGCTCAGGACACTACACAGCCTATTGCTACAACACGGAGGGAGGTGCGTGAGCCCCAGGCCAATCCCCTCCCACCCCTCTCCCCTTCCTCACCTTCCTTGGCTTTTCCCTCCTTTGGAATCCCTGCCCCAGGATTCCAGTTCCTTGGGATCCACTCCTTGCCCTTCAGTAGTTTGTTTTCCCCGCTGTATTTTTATTTTTTTTTATATTTTTTTGTCTTTTATTTTCGCTTTTTTATTTTTTATATTTTTTTTTCCCTGGGAATGGTGGGAATTCTTCATTCTGCCAAAGCTGCTGCAGCTGGGTTTGCCCAGGATCCTGGGGATTCAGGAGATGAACAGAAAGTGTTTTGAAGCTGGAAAAAACAGGAACTATTCATGAGCAACATCCGCAGGGGGCTGGGAGATCCCAGCAGCTGGATCAGGACAGGCTCTGCCTTCCTGGCTGCACAAATTGGGAATTTTGGGCTGCCTAATTCAGCTTTTGGGCTGATTAAAAGATGCTTTGATATTTCTAAAGCACCCCCAAAAATTATATTTTAAAATTATATTAAAATTTATATATTTTTAAATTGTATTAAAATTATATTTTAAAAATCCTATTTTAAAACTGTATTTTAAAAATTCTATTAAAAACTATATTTTAAAAATTCTATTAAAAACTATATTTTAATTTTTATAGAAATCATATTTAAATAATATAATATTTATAATATAGTTATAATATTTTTATAATACTATATTTAAACAATCATATTAAAATTATATTTATAGTAAAAGTATATTTATTAAAATTATATTAAAATTATATTTATTAAAATATATTAAAATTATATAAAAATTAAAATTATATTAAGATGATATTAAAACCATTTTCCAGCTTACAGGAAAATACAGAGTTGCCTTTTCTCCAGTGGATGTTTCCTGTGAGCAGTTCCAAAATCCAAAGGGATCCTACCTCAGCTAAAAGGGTTTTTTCCCCTTTTTTCCAGGTTTTTGGGTGCACTGCAATGACTCCAAACTGAATGTATGTAGTGTGGAGGAGGTGTGCAAGACCCAGGCCTACATCCTCTTCTACACTCAGAGAACGCTGCAGGACAAAGCAGGAATCCCAGAAAAACAACTCCAAACTCAGGTGTTTGCCACCCAAAACCAGTGACAAGGACACAAAAGTGACATTGCCACCAGGGGAAACACTCCCGGCTGCTTTGGGGAACTTCTGGGGTTCAACTTCCCCTGATCTGGGGGGAAACTGCAGGAATGGGGTCAGGGCAGGGATGGGATCAGGGATCAGGGAAAGGATGGGGCAGGAGTGGGATCAGGGCAAGGATGGGATCAGAGCAGGGATGGGATGGGGCAGGAATGGGATCAGGGCAGGAACAGGATCAGGGCAGGGATAGGGCAGGAGTGGGATCAGAGCAGGGATGGGGTTAGAGCAGGGATGGGATGGGGCAGGAATGGGATCAGGGATCAGGGCAGGAGTGGGATTGGGCAGGAATTGGAATCAGGACAGGGATGGGATTGGGACAGGAGTGGGATCAGGGATGGGATCAGGGCAGGGATGGGATCAGCAGTGGGATCAGAACAGGAGTAGAATCAGGGATCAGGGCAGGAACAGGATCAGGGCAGGGATGGGATCAGGGATCAGGGCAAGGATGGGGCAGGAATGGGATGGGGCAGGAGTGGGATCAGAGCAGGGACGGGATGGGGCAGGAATGGGATCACAGCAGGGATGGGATCAGGGCAGGAATGGGATTGGGCAGGAATTGGGATCAGGTCAGGAATGGATCAGGACAGGGATGGGATTGGGACAGGAGTGGGATCAGGGCAGGAATGGATCAGGACAGGGATGGGATTGGGACAGGAGTGGGATCAGGGATGGGATCAGGACAGGGATGGGATTGGGACAGGAGTGGGATCAGGGATGGGATCAGGGCAGGGATGGGATCACAGCTGGAATGGAGTCAGGGCAGGAATGGGATCAGGGATCAGAGCAGGGATGGGGGTCAGAGATGAGAGCAGGAATGGGAGAGCAGGGATGGGATCAAAGCACAGCCTGGATTTCATCCCAGGCTGATTTCAGGTCCATCCCAGGCTGGATTTTCCCTGGAATTCCATCCCAGGCTGGATTTTCCCTGGAATTCCATCCCAGGCTGGATTTCCCTGGCAGCAGCAGCAGCTGCTGGATCCCAGGGCTGGGCTCGTCCCTGTCTCTCTCTCGGGTGTGAAACAGAAATCATGTTTTTATGATTTTTTTTTGTTATTTTGTAAATCTTTACTCTTTTTACACCTTGTTTTTTTTTGTAAGCTGAAATTTCTTATTAAGAAAAAAAAAAAAGAAAGAAAAAACAAACAAAGAGAAAAAAAAAAAGAAAGAAATTCCAGTGGGTTGTGTTGTTATTCCATAAAATTTAATAAACATCTGGGGGTGGGGGGTACAGGAAGAAATTCCATGAACATCCTCGAGGAAACAATTCCCAAAGGAATGAATGGGAAACCAAATCTTCCTCTCAGCATTAAACCTCTTGTCCTTGTCACTGCTCCAGGCAGGACAGGGGGGACCAGAGCAGCTCCAGGTGGGACCAGAGCAGCTCCAAAGGGATCAGAGCAGCTCCAAAGGGATCAGATCAGCTCCAGGTGCGATCAGAACAACTCCAGAGGGGTCACAGCAGCTCCAGGTGGGATCTGAGCAGCTCCAGGTGGGATCAGAGCAGCTCCAGGTGGGATCTGAGCAGCTCCACAGCTCCAGTCCTGGTGGGAGGGCGAGCTCAGCTCCCAGCAGCTCCGGCTCCTTCCTGGGACAGGAGTCAGCACCATCAGGGGAGCTGCTTCTGCTCTAAAATGTGGGTAAAAAAGGGGTTCTGTGGGGTTTGGGGTGGGCTCACCCCCGATTTGTGTCACCTCGGGTGGTGACAGTGCTGTCCTGGGGGGGACAGGGTGAGTTTGGGGGCTTTGTTCAGCCTTGGGGGGCTGCAGCTCCAAACTCTGGTGAGCAGGGACAGCAGCCAGGGAAGGGCTGGATTTGGGAGATTGAGGGTGGATTTTGGGAAAGGTTCCTCCCCCAGAGGGTTTGGGGCACTGCCCAGGCTCCCCAGGGAATGGGAAAAACCCCGAGGCTGCCAGAGCTCCCCAGGGTGGGATTTTGGGATCTCAGGGATGCCCAGGTGGGATTCTGAGGTGTCTGAGCAGGGCAGGGTTGGATTTGATCCCTGCGGGTCCCTCCCAGCTCAGGATATTCCCGATCCCGCCCCTCGGTCCCTCTCCCGCGCTGACCGGAGCTACGGCACGGGCTGCGGGGCCATCAGGTCGATGTCGGTCAGGTTCCGGGCCACCCAGACGCCGGCGGCAAACAGCCCCAGGTTCAGCAGCAGGTTCCTGCAATCACAGAGTCCCAGAAGCGCTGAGCTCGGAAAAGATTTTGGGAAAGTTCATCCGAGCCCAGGCTGTGCCCGATCCCAACCCTGAGCACTCAGTGCCACCTCCAGGGGACACCTCCAGGGATGGGCGCTCCAAACCCCCCTGGGCAGCCCCTTCCAGCCCTTCCCATGAGGAAATTCCTGCTGGTGTCCAACCTGAGCCTCCCCAGCCCAGCCTGAGGCCGTTCCCTCTGCTCCTGTCCCTGTTCCCTGGGACAAGATCCCAAACCCCCCCGGCTGTCCCCTCCTGTCAGGAGTTGTGCAGAGCCAGAAATTCCCCCTGAGCCTCCTTTGCTCCAGGCTGAGCCCCTGCCCAGCTCCCTCAGGACTCTCCAAACCCTTCCCAGCTCCCTCAGGACTCTCCAGGCCCCTCCAGCTCCGCTCCCTTCCCCGGACCCGCTCCAGCCCCAAAATGTCCTCCCTGAGGCGAGGAGACCGAACTGGACGCAGGGACCGAGGGACGATCCCTGTCTGTCCCTCTCCTGCTCCAGGCCGGGAACAGACACCGGGCTCCCGATCCCAACCCCGACCGCTGCTCCGGGCCCGGCCTCGATCCCGGCCCCATCCGTGCCCCGCTCCCGGTCCCGCAGCCGGTGCCGACCTGCGGAAGTCGTTGCGGTCGGTGGCGAAGCGGAAGGCGCTCCGCAGCCAGGCGCGGATGCCCCGCGGCGGGGCCGCCACCGCCCCGGCCGCTCCCGCCGCTCCCGCTCCTGCCACCGCCGCCATTGCTGCCGCCCGCGCCGCGGCGTCACTGCCGCGCGTGACGTCATCTGCGCGGCGTGACGTCACCGCCGGCGCGCGGGGCGCTGCGTGAGGGCGGCAGCGGGATCGGGACCGGGATTGGGATAGGGACCGGGATTGGCAGCAGGGTCGGGATTGGGATCGATGATCAGGATCGGCACCGGGATTGGGATCTGCACCAGGACTGGCACCGGGATCGAGAGCGGAACCGGGATCGGCACCGGGACCTTTGTGTTCTCCCGAGCTCCTGTGCCTGGGAGGAGGCTCGGGTGGAGCCCCAAAGCCGAGAGCTGCACGTTTTGGGGTGCTCGCTGTGTCACGATGGGAATGAGGGGCTTTAAGGGCCCTCGGTGGGGTGAGGACTGCGGTTAGAGTGAGGTTTATTATTATTATTGAATGATTTTAACAATAAAATAACTTATTCTTGCACAGAATTTCTGGAATTAGCAGAGTTTTCCTGTTCTTCCCATTTCCCTCCTCCTCCTCTCTGGGGACGCCCAGGTGACCAAGCCAGGCTTGGGTAATCCAGGCTTGGATCCGTGGGGACATCCTGCCACACTGTCCATCTGTCCGTCCATCTATCCGTCCATCCATCCCTCCATCCATGGATCCATCCCTCCATCCATCCATCCATGCATCTGTTATATTTGCCCAATCATCCCATCATCCTAAAAAACCCCAAACAATATTAAAGGTAGCAGCAATTTTAATTGAATAGCTTAGAATATATTAGAGAATTCCTGGATTTTTTTCACAGGGAATTGTTTGCTTTGGGAGCATAAAGCAAATCCAAGTGAAGGCTGGAAATTTACAACAGAACTCTCACTGCAGGGACAACTCCTCCCAAAAGCCAGCCTTTTATTGGGATGAAATACAACAAAACACTGCTGTGGATATAAAAAAAAAATAGAAATTGAAGAGATGTCTGTAACTTTCTGGAATTTCTATTTTCCCTGCACCAAACACTGTCCAAAAAACCACAGAACCAATGGATCCAAGGGAGGCAGCAGATTTTGACATTCCCATCAGGTACAGAGGATAAAGGCAAGGTAAGTGCCAGAAAGAGGAAAATTAGGGAATTCCTGGATTTTTTTTCACAGGGAAATGTTTGGGAGTTCTTGAAGCAAATCCAAGGGAAGAGGAAATTTACAGGACAAACCAGCACAGCCCTCACTGTGCAGGGACAACTCCCCCCAAAAGCCAGCCTTTTATTGGGATGAAATACAACAAAACACTGCTGTGGATATAAAAAAAATATAGAATTTTAAGAGATGTCTATAACTTTCTGGAATTTCGATTTTCCCTGCACCAAACACTGTCCAAAAAACCACAGAACCAATGGATCCAAGGGAGGCAGCAGATTTTGACATTCCCATCAGGTACAGAGGATGAAGGCAAGGTAAGAACGTGCCAGAAAGAGGAAAAGTGGGGAATTCCTGGATTTTTTTCACAGGGAAATGTTTGCTTTGGGAGCATAAAGCAAATCCAAGTGAAGGCTGGAAATTTACAACAGAACTCTCACTGCAGGGACAACTCCTCCCAAAAGCCAGCCTTTTATTGGGATGAAATACAACAAAACACTACTGTGGATAAAAAAAAAAATAGAAATTTAAGAGATGTCTGTAACTTTCTGGAATTTCTATTTTCCCTGCACCAAACAGTGTCCAAAAAACCACAGAACTAATGGATCCAAGGGAGGCAGCAGATTTTGACATTCCCATCAGGTACAGAGGATGAAGGCAAGGTAAGAATGTGCCAGGAGCAGGAAAATTAAATTCCCCTCTTTAATGTGAAGTAAAAATCTACAAACAGAAGAGGAAGCAGGTAAGGAACCACTGCCCATTACCACAAGAAAACTGGATGAAAATCACAGACTATCTGCTACCTCCAGCCTAGGAAAGGTCTCAGACAAAGCTTCAGACCAGTCCCTTCCCCATCACTGCTCCTAAATCAGGACAAGGACAGAGCCAGTCCTGGCACTCCCGCCACCCTTGGCCAAGGTTCTGCTGATCTGTAAAATCTGACTGATGTTTTGTGCTGCATCCACCCCTCTGCGCTGTTCGGGATGGATCCCAAAGTTCTTGAAAGGGTCAAGAGGAGTCAAAAGTGAAGTTTTCTGTGCTGCCAACCTCCTTCGTTTGTGGAATCGTGACACAAAGTAGTCCCACTCGGTGCTAGGAGGGCGGAAGGCGAAAACGCGGGGGCGCCCCCGGTATCGCGCTGCGGCAGGGGGGGGGGGGGGGGGGGGGGGATCTCTCGGTGCCCCAGGTATCGCGCTGCGGAGGGGGGGGGGATCTCTCGGTGCCCCCGGTATCGCGCTGCGGCGGCGGGGGATCTCTCGGTGCCCCAGGTATTGCGCTGCGGCGCGGGGGGGATCTCTCGGTGCCCCGGGTATCGCGCTGCGGCGGCGGGGGGGATCTCTCGGCGCCCCCGCTATCGCGCTGCGGAGGGGGGGGGGGGGATCTCTCGGCGCCCCGGGTATCGCGCTGCGGCGGGGGAGGGGGGGGATCTCTCGGTGCCCCGGGTATCGCGCTGCGGCGGGGGGGGGGGGGATCTCTCGGTGCCCCAGGTACCGCGCTGCGGAGGGGGAGGGGGGGGGATCTCTCGGTGCCCCAGGTATCGCGCTGCGGCGGGGGGGGGATCTCTCGGTGCCCCAGGTATCGCGCTGCGGCGGGGGAGGGGGGGATCTCTCGGTGCCCCAGGTATCGCGCTGCGGCGCGGGGGGGATCTCTCGGTGCCCCAGGTATCGCGCTGCGGAGGGGGACGGGGGGGGATCTCTCGGTGCCCCGGGTATCGCGCTGCGGCGGGGGACGGGGGGGGATCTCTCGGTGCCCCAGGTATCGCGCTGCGGAGGGGGGGGGGGATCTCTCGGTACCCCAGGTATCGCGCTGCGGCGGAAGGGGGGGGATCTCTCGGTGCCCCAGGTATCGCGCTGCGGCGGAAGGGGGGGGATCTCTCGGTGCCCCAGGTATCGCGCTGCGGCGGGGGGAGGGGGGGATCTCTCGGTGCCCCAGGTATCGCGCTGCGGCGGAAGGGGGGATCTCTCGGTGCCCCCGCTATCGCGCTGCGGCGGGGGGGGGGGATCTCTCGGTGCCCGGCTCCTCAAGCTCCGGCAGAGGCAGAGACGCGGAAGGATACATGCAAGGCGCTGCTGTATCCGCCTGCTGTGGTGCCGTGTATAGAGCCGGTGGCGGCGGAAGCGGCGTGACAGGGCACGGGCATGCCGGCCGTGGCCGGACAGCGGCACGCAGCGGCTCGGAACCGGGACCGGGCTGTACCAAAACTGCAGCGAAAGCAGTGGGGGGCGGCGGCGGCGGCGGCGGCGCCGGCGCCGTGGAGAACTGCGCATGCGTGCCGCTGATCCCGGAAAGGGCGCTGTGGTTGGATGAGGCGGCGCGGAGTGATATCGCTGGTGCGGCGGTTATGGCAACTGCGCATGCGCGGGGCAGGCGGCGGGCAGCGGCGGGCAGCGGCGGGCAGCGGCGGGCAGCGGCGGGCAGCGGCGGGCAGCGGCGGGCAGCGGCGGGCAGCGGCGGGCAGCGGCGGGCAGCGGCGGGCAGCGGCGGGCAGCGGCGGGCAGCGGCGGGCAGCGGCGGGCAGCGGCGGGCAGCGGCGGGCAGCGGCGGGCAGCGGCGGGCGGGCCGGGGGGTGCGGGAAGCGGCGGAGCCGCGGAAACGGGGGACGGGGCTGCGGCTGCGGAAGGGAACGACGGGACGGCCGTGGTTGCAGGAGGCGGCGGAGCCGTGCCATCCGGCAGCTCTGAAGCGGGGAGCCGCGGTGGGGAAGGCGCGGCTCGGCCCGCCATGGAGCGGCAGCGGCAGGAGCGAGAGGGCGACCACGGGCGGCGGCGGGGCGGCCGCGTCAGCGGGAGATGATCCCGGGGCGGCGGGAGGAGCGGCGTGGAGGCGGCGGGAGGTTGCCGCGGGGGGGCCATGGCGGGCGGTGGGGGAGTCGGCGGCTGGAGCGCGGCGCGCAGCCGCTGGGGGCTGGGCTGGCTGCTGGCCCGGCGGGCAGGGGCGGCGCCAGGCGCGGGAGAGGCAACGTGCACGAGGGGCCGCGCCAGGCGCGCTCGGCACCGCAGATCCGGGAGCCACAGGAGACTGCCAAAATGCAGCAGCGAATGGACTTGCGCCGCCACCGGCGCTGTGTCGGCAAAGGGGGCGAGGGGGACTTGGGGGCGGGAGGAGCGGCCGCACCCGCGGGTAGCGGGGAGAAAGCGGCAGGCGCGGGGGAGGGGGCGCGGGGCCGCGGTGACGCTGAGGGGCGGGGCCCGCGGTAGCCGGGACAGCAGGGACCAACGGGATGGCAAAGGCGGGGATGGCGGGAGCGGTGGGAGGGGCCGGGGGGGGCGGATATCGGGACCGCGGGGGCGGGGCGGCACGGGCGAGCAGCGCCGCGGGTGCCGGAGCTGTGCGGTCCGACGGGGAGGTGGGGGGCGTGTCCCGCTGGAGACTCGCGGCGGCGAGGGGCGGAGTCGCAGGAGGGGCGGGGCGGTTGCTGCGGGCATCCCCCGTGCGGCAAACACAGCACAAGCAGCGCCCGGCAAGCTGGGGCCGGCTCCGCGGCAGCCATCTCCCGGTGGGAGATACTAATAAAGTGCTTGATACAAACTGTGTCCAAAAGTCTCTGGTAAACACGGCCAAACAGTCAGCATTTGGTTTTCATAACTCCTGTTGCAGTAATTTAGCTTTACGACAATCGCGCTTTATGGCGCCTTTCACAACAGTCACGCGTTACGGCCCCTTTCACGACAGTCGCGCTTTACGACCCCTTTCACGTCAATGCTGCTTTACGACCCCTTTCACGACAGTCGCGCTTTACGGCAGTTTTGCGACAGTAGCGATTTACGACCCCTTTCACGACAGTCGCGCTTTACGGCAGCTTTGCGACAGTGCTGCTTTACGGCACCTTTTACGACAGTCGCGCTTTACGGCACCTTTACGACAGTGTTGCTTTAGGGCACCGTTTACGACAGTCGCGCTTTACGGCACCGTTTACGACAGTCGCGCTTTACGGCACCTTTTACGACAGTCGCGCTTTACGGCAGCTTTACGACAGTCGCGCTTTACGACACCTTTTACGACAGTCGCGCTTTACGGCACCGTTTACGACAGTCGCGCTTTACGGCAGCTTTGCGACAGTGCTGCTTTACGGCAGCTTTTACGACAGTGCTGCTTTACGGCAGCTTTTACGACAGTCGCGCTTTACGGCACCTTTTACGACAGTCGCGCTTTACGGCAGCTTTTACGACAGTCGCGCTTTACGGTACCTTTTACGACAGTTCTGCTTTACGGCAGCTTTGCGACAGTCGCGCTTTACGGCAGCTTTACGACAGTCGCGCTTTACGGCACCTTTTACGACAGTCGCGCTTTACGGCACCTTTTACGACAGTTTTGCTTTACGGCACCTTTTGCGACAGTTTTGCTTTACGGCACCTTTTGCGACAGTCGCGCTTTACGGCACCGTTTACGACAGTCGCGCTTTACGGCAGCTTTGCGACAGTCGCGCTTTACGGCACCTTTTGCGACAGTGTTGGTTTCTGGGACCTTTTACGACAGTCGCGCTTTACGGCACCTTTTACGGCACTTTAGGGTTTTTATTTTGTTTTTCATTTATTTTTAATTAATGTTATTTTAAAATTTTTGGGTTTAATTTAAATTTTATTTTTAATTTTTCTATTTTTAAAGCTTTTTTATTTTTTTTTAATTATTTTTAAATTTATTTTTAAATTTTTTTTTTTTTTTTTTTTTTTTTTTGTGCTGCCCTGTGCTTTATGGCACCTTTTGCAACAGTCACGCTTTAATGCAGTTTAGGGTTTTTATTCTGTTTTTCATTTATTTTTAATTAATTTCATTTTTTAAATTTTATTTTTAATTTAAATTTTATTTTTAATTTTTTTTATTTTTAAAGGGTTTTTTAAAGCTTTTATTTTGTGCAGCCCAGTGCTTTATGGCAGTTTCACGACAGTGGCACTTTACGGCACTTTAGTGTTTTTATTTTGTTTTTCATTTATTTTTAATTAATTTTATTTTTTAATTTAAATTTTATTTTTAGTTTTTTTATTTTTAAAGGTTTTTTTATTTTATTTTATTTTGTGCTGCCCGGTGCTTTACGGCAGTTTTACAACAGTCGCACTTTACGGCACTTTAGGGTTTTTATTTTGTTTTTCTTTTTTTTTTAAATTAATTTTATTTTTTGAATTTTATTTTTAATTTTTCTATTTTTAAAGCTTTTATTTTATTTTGTGCTGCCCGGTGCTTTACGGCAGTTTTACAACAGTCGCACTTTAGGGGTTTTTTTTTTGTTTTTCACTTATTTTTAATTAATTTTATTTTTTAATTTAAATTTTATTTTTAGTTTTTTTATTTTTAAAGGTTTTTTTTTTTTATTTTATTTTGTGCTGCCCGGTGCTTTACGGCAGTTTTATGACAGTCACACTTTACGGCACTTTAGAGTTTTTATTTTGTTTTTCATTTTTTTAAAATTAATTTTATTTTTTGAATTTTATTTTTAATTTTTCTATTTTTAAAGCTTTTATTTTATTTTGTGCTGCCTGGTGCTTTACAGCAGTTTTACAACAGTCGCACTTTACGGCACTTTAGGGTTTTTATTTTGTTTTTCTTTTTTTTTAAATTAATTTTATTTTTTGAATTTTATTTTTAATTTTTCTATTTTTAAAGCTTTTATTTTATTTTGTGCTGCCCGGTGCTTTACGGCAGTTTTACAACAGTCGCACTTTAGGGGTTTTTATTTTGTTTTTCATTTATTTTTAATTAATTCTATTTTTTGAATTTTATTTTTAATTTTTCTATTTTTAAAGCTTTTATTTTATTTTGTGCTGCCCGGTGCTTTACGGCAGTTTTACAACAGTCGCACTTTAGGGTTTTTATTTTGTTTTTCATTTATTTTTAATTAATTTTATTTTTTAATTTAAATTTTATTTTTAGTTTTTTTATTTTTAAAGGTTTTTTTTTTAAATTTTATTTTGTGCTGCCCGGTGCTTTACGGCAGTTTTACAATAGTCGCACTTTACGGCACTTTAGAGTTTTTATTTTGTTTTTCATTTTTTTAAAATTAATTTTATTTTTTGAATTTTATTTTTAATTTTTCTATTTTTAAAGCTTTTATTTTATTTTGTGCTGCCCGGTGCTTTACGGCAGTTTTATGACAGTCACACTTTACGGCACTTTAGGGTTTTTATTTTGTTTTTCATTTTTTTAAAATTAATTTTATTTTTTAAATTTTAATTTTTCTATTTTTAAAGCTTTTATTTTATTTTGTGCTGCCCGGTGCTTTACGGCAGTTTTACAACAGTCGCACTTTAGGTTTTTTTTTTGTTTTTCACTTATTTTTAATTATTTTTTAATTTAAATTTTATTTTTAGTTTTTTTATTTTTAAAGGGTTTTTTTTTTTATTTTATTTTGTGCTGCCCGGTGCTTTACGGCAGTTTTATGACAGTCACACTTTACGGCACTTTAGGGTTTTTATTTTGTTTTTCATTTTTTTAAAATTAATTTTATTTTTTGAATTTTATTTTTAATTTTTCTATTTTTAAAGCTTTTTTAAATTTTATTTTGTGCTGCCCGGACCAGCTCAAGCCAGTGATTGTGGTGGTGTTTGACGGTCCCCAGGACAAGGGAAGAGATGAGAATCTTGACTTCTCCTAATAGAAGCCTGATTTATTATTTTATTATCGCTATTATATTAAAAGAAAATGGGATATTAGAACTATACTAAAAGAGCAAGGAGACATCAGAAAGCTGGAAAGGAATGAATAATAAAAACCTGGGACTGCTCACAGCCCTGACATAGCTGGACCATGATTGGTCATCGAGTAGAAACAATGCACAGGAGACCAGTCCAAGATGCCCCTGTTGCTAAACCACCTCCAGCCCACACTCCACAGCCAGCAGGTCGTTATTGGTTCCATTTCTGTTCTGAGGCTTCTCAGGAGAAAAATCCCAGCAAAAGGCTTTTCATCAAACACGTCAGTGGCAGGTGATGATGGCACAGGCAGCATGGGCTGGCCGAGGTCACTGTGTCATCCCTGCCAGCCCAGGTGTCACAGCAAGGAGGAGAGTTCACCCTGCAGTACAGAGCTTTTGGGTTGTTTGTCACTAGGCAAAGGCAAAACCAGGGCCAAGAAGGCTCTTGCCACAAGGCAGTGGTCACCTCCATGTGACCAACAGCCACAGCCAGGCAGAGCACTGGGGACAATGACACTGAGGTCACTTGGTAGAAGCTCTGCAGGGAAACTGCAAAGATCAGAGCCTGCTGCCGAATAAAGCCAGAAGACCTTTGATGATCATGGCACAATTTCTATTTATGTCATGTTTTGGGCAGCCCTACAATAGCTCCACTTTACTCAGCCACTAACTCAGTGGAATGCAAACACATCAACAATCTGGCTCCCTGGAGGTTTCCATCCTCCAGCTAATGTGGATTTTGAAGCCTCATCAGTCCACTGCCACCTAAAATAGCTTAAGAGATTCTTATGTAAAGAAACCTGGCTCTCAGCCTTAAGAGTGTCACCTAATGCTTCAGACTTTCCTTCCTCTGGCTGGAATCTGAACACTACTGAGCAAACCTGGAGCAGTCACACATGCATATTCTAATTCTCCTTCTCCCTTTGTAGATGTTTGTGGATTTTTAAATAGTTCCTGAAATATGCAATGCTTCAAAACCTCCATTGAAACCCCAGCTCTACCTGCCTGAGTTCTCTGTCCCAACCTTTTCTTCCCAGTTCTCAGACCAGAAGGTGCCTGGATGAGGTTTCCAGTGGGTACTTTCAAAAATACAGGACAGAACTTTGAGCAGAGTCATGCCACACAAGCACTATTAGGGCCACAAGCAGTGTCATCATCACCAGAAATGTGTCACACACAGCAGGGCCCCTCACGGGCCAGGCAAACAGGAAAGAAAGGTGGCTTTAAAGCAGAACACTCAAATTTCCCAGCTAAATTCAGCTGGAATTCAGTTAAATGCTGCTCTCCTGCACTCAGAGATCTGTAAATCCCAGCAGATCAGATACACAAAGCAGCAGCCCAGCCTGCACCACTGCATGGCTGTTGGGGAGGAACGTGCACAGAGCTCGTGCACACCAGGAAGCTGCCCCCTCACGATTCCTTTGGGTGATCACCTGAGGAAAGACAAAAATCAGGATGAGGAAAGTCACTGCCATACCCAGCTCTGCACAGCTCTGGCATGGCAGGGGTGGCACCTTCTGCTTCCACACCCTGGGGCAGCCCAGGGTGCAGAGGCTGCCATGACAGGGACCTGTCCCCACTCACCTGGCCCCTTCCAGCACAGCCTGCAGGGATTTCTTCAGCACCGCAGTGCTCCGGTCCAGGACAGCAGCCAGGCTGCTCCTGTGAGCTGGGCTGACCTGGGGCGGAGGCAGCACCAGCTCAGGGCCCTGCCCTGCCAGGAGCTCACCTGAGAGCTCTTGGCTGGGCCCCAGCAGCTGCAGGAGCAGCCCTGGCTGGGCTCACCTGGCTCTGGTACACCGTGAGCACGGCTGTCACCAGCCTGGCAAAGTTCAGGGACGTGGCAAAGGCTGGAGCCTGCTGGCACAGAGTCAGGACCAGCAGATCCAGGAGCTCAGGGGGCAGCACCTCCTGGAAAAGGCCCAGGGGCAGGTAAGAGAATGGGTCCTTGCTCCAGCACTGCTGGAGTCACCAAGGACACCCGTGGGACAAGGGGGGCTCCTCACCTGCCGCCCCAGCACGGCCTGCAGCACTGGCAGGAGCTTCTCTGACAAAGGCACCTCCAGGACTTGGCTGCAAGGACAGTGAAGAGGAAAGGTGCTGCTCTGTGGCCTGGCTGGTGCCCCCAGGCAGGCTGGACAGTGAGGCCAAAGCAGAGCTGCCAGCCCTGTGACCCCTCACTCACCTCAGCACCAGCTGCACAGAGTGGGGCTCCAGGCACTCCTCCACCAGCTCACACAGCAGCTTGGTCTGCTCAGCACCTGCAAAGCAGCAAGGGAGAGCCTCCAGAGGCTGCCAAATCCATGGGGAGGTGCCTGGCCCTTCCTGGCACCTCTTCACAGGTGTATGTGCCAGTCAGGACAGACAGAAACCACCCAGTGCCTCCTCCTGCTGCTGAGGATAATCCTGCTTCCTTTGCCCAGCTGCAGCAAGGGTTTAAACAGCTCCAGTCTCTGGGAAAAGGGGACACTGTGGCAGGGGTTCCCCCTCTCCTCACAGCAGCACAAGGGGAGCTCTGCCCTGAGCATTAGGAGCTGCCAGGAACCCCCAATCATGGAGGGATGGGAACTGTCCTTTGGGAAAAAATAAGCCAGAAGCCAGCCTAGCCAGCCCTCCCACTTCATCTGTAAACCCATCTCCCATCCCAACCCCCAAGTGTTCACCTGCCCAGAAAAAACCAACCCCAGGCGTCCATGGTTCCTAACATGTGACAAATGCCACCCACAAACAGCCACAGCTCCCAGCAGCCCTGCACACCTTCCCCTGGCCCCTGCAGCACTGCAGCCACCAGCACACGGCACAGGGAATGGGAATACTTGGAGCAAAACGAAGTCAGGGCAGCCATGAGGTGTCGGGAAGGCGGCTGGGTGAGGGCCAGGACCTGGGGACACAAAAGGCAGGAGCTGGGGACAGTGGAGAGGGGAATGGGGAGCAGGAACCTCCGCTGCCATGACACGTACCCGCCTGAGGAAGAGCTGCTGTGCCAGGATGGCTGCGCTGGTGTGGCTGAGGGCAGGGCTCAGAGGCAGCAGCCAGCTGCAGAAACGCACCAGGGAGGGCTCTGGGCACGTGGAGAGCTGCAGGAAGGAGCACAGCCCCTCGAGCTGGGGTGGCACAGGGCATGGGGCATTAGGGACAGCAGCAGGACCCTGCAGCAGCTGCAGCAGGGGTGCTGGGGCTCACCTGGCTGGGGGTGCAGGTGTTCAGGATGCTCAGCTTGGAAGGGGTGTGCAGCTCGGAGTGCTGGAGAGAAACACTGTCCTGAGTAAAGCACCAAAGAAACCAGAATACAAAATACAGCTCCAGGGCTTCTCCCTTCCCCTGTGTCTGTCAGGGCTGAGCCCACAGGCAGCCCCTCACACCTGCAAGGTGCAGGCAGGTGTTGGTATCCCAAGCCCAGAGGAGGTGCCAACAGGGCTTTTTATCCCCATCTGTGAAATCCAGCTCCTTTTCCACCCCTCCCGAGGCCCTGGCACCAGCCTGTATAGAGCATCAGCTCCAGGAGAGGGACAGAAGCCACCACTTACACTGGACTCCTGCAGCAGCAGCATTTTCAGCCCCTGTCCATGCACCTGAGGGAAATGAGATGAAGGAATGGGAATCAGGCAGTAAAGGCTCCCTGGCTGGGAGGGGACAGCAAACCCTACCCAGTACCTGGACAAAGGACTGGACCTCTGCTGCCAGCTCTGTCTGGGAAATCCTCCTGGGCTCCCCAGCTGCATCCTGCTGGGAGCTGTCCTGAGCAGCCTTATCTGTGCTCTGAGCAGATGTGTCCCCTGAAGGCTCCTCAAGCACCTCCTCTTCCACCTCTGCCACATCTCCACATTCCTGGGGCTCAAATGCCACCTCCTCCAGCAACAACCTCTTCCCCTCTCTCTCATTGTCCAACTCCAGGCTCTCCTCAGACACTTCTTTACATTTCCCACCTTCAGGCACAGAGTCAGGGGCACCAGCCTGCTTGCTGAAGCACCAGCTCAATTTTCTTTGTCCCTCTGGTTTCTTCTGGGCAATTTTCTGGCACAGGCCCCTAAGCTGCTGCTGGCACGCAGCAGAAAGGGCAGTGGGATGTGGGGAGCTCTCCTGTGCCCTTGGTCCCTGCTGGAGCAGATCCCCCAGTGCCTGCACCCAGGGATCCACACGGGAATGCTGCTCCAAGGCCTGGAGCAGCTGGTGAAGGCAGTCCCGTGGCACCGCATCCTGCACCACCAGGAGCAGGGAGAAGAGGTTCCTCTGGCACAAAACGGGCAGCAGCAGCAGCCGTGGCTTGCTGGAAAAGGAGAGGTGAGTGGTCAGAGCAAATCCCCTGTCCTGAGCCCAACCCACCCCGTGGAGCAGAGTCCCACAGCACCAGGGAGCAAGAGGAGGCACCTGATGCTTTTGCAGACACGAGCTGGGACACCAGTGGGTCACTGCTATGATCCCAGCTTCATGTATGGACCAGGAAAGTGGATTTTTACGAAGCTTGAGGGCCATTGGTTGTTTCTGTGGATTTTTATGAAGATTGAGGGCCATTGGTTGTTTCTGCATGCAGATATGAGGATGATGAGAATGGATAGGGTGAATGATCCTAAGCAGGCTTTGATTAGGCCGGAACAGGGGGCAGTGGCAGTTTGGGTTGCTATTAGTTGTAGGTTGTGCACCTGACGCCCAAAATCGTGCACCTGACACCCAAAACTCCCGCAAAACACCGAGTTTTAGAAACGTATCCAACTCACACAGCCAGGGCGTCCTCTGGCCCCTCCAGCGAGGGCTCCTCGGCGCACAGGGCTGCGGTGAGAGCCGGCCAGGGGAACGCCAGCCCCGCTCCGTCCCGGGGCCGGCTCCGCTGCAGCGCCCGCAGCGCGGCCATGGCCCCCGCGGGGCCGGAGCACAGGGAGCGCAGCAGGAGGCGGCACGGCCGGGGACACCGCGGCAGCCAGGGCGGGCACCGCGGCTCCATCGCTGCGGCCGGGGCTGCACAGCCGCCTGCGGGACACGGGGACACCGGAGACGGTCACACACACGGGGACACCGGAGATGGTCACACACACGGGGACAGCCGGACACGGGGGACAGCCGGACAACGGACACAGCCGGACACGGATGACAAACAAAGGGAACAGCCACACACGGGTCACACCTCCTACCAGAAGGCACCCCCACCCCATAAGTCCCTGCCCTTATCCCCATCGAAACAACCCTACTAATTCTCCCATTAGCACTGGGTGTGCCCCTAACAGCCAACCTCACAGCAAGCCACCTCCTCATCCAGCTCATCTCTACAGCTACAACAGCCTTGTCCTCCACAATATCAGCGGTCTCACTCCTAACCTTACTAGTGCTCTTCTTAATAACTATTCTAGAAGTTGCGGTAGCGATAATCCACGCCTATGTTTTCATACGTACAAGAAAATATCTAACTCCCAATGGCACACCAAGCACATCCTTATCACATAGTTGACCCTAGCTTGACCGGACACGGGTCCCACTCGGGAGACGCGGGACGATCAGGACCTGCCTGTCCATGCTCGGCGCCCACCCCGGCATCAACCCGGGCAGCTGCCTTTACCTCTCCCCAGCCGAGGATGCGGGAGAGCACCGGGAGTCCCTCCGTGCCCTCCATCACCCCTTGGCTGGCAGCCCCGCACGCACCCCCAGCCCAAGGCCGATCCCTCCCCTCCCGGGGGCGCTGCCGGTGCGGCTCCCCCGGGCCTCGAGCACCGCCTCGGTCAGTGCCGGGCACACTCGGGGCAGGCCCGGGCACACTCGGGGCAGGCCCGGGCACACTCATTCAGAATTGGCCCCGCACATTCACCCGCAGCTGTCCCGGGCACACTCACTCAGAGCTGGCCCCGCACACTCGGGGCAGTCCCGGGCACACTCACTCAGAGCTGGCCCCGCACACTCGGGGCAGTCCCGGGCACACTCAGAGCCGGCCCCGCACCCTCACCCGTGGCTGTCCCGGGCACACTCACTCAGACCCGGCCCCGCACCCTCACCGCCGCCGTTCCCCCGTCCCCGCCGCGCTCCGCCCGCTGCTCGCGGGCCCCACGGCGCCGCTTCCGGCCCCGGCCCGGAAGCGCAGCCGGACCGCGCTCAAAGGAGCTCATTATGCAAATATCCCTTAAATTCCAACCCAAACACCGCCTCCCCCCCCTCGCCCCCGAGGGTGGATCCCGCAGCCCACAGGTCACAGGCACCCGGAAGCGTAGCGTTACACAGCCCGTTTTTTTTCGTTATTCCCGGATTTGGCTAATGTTAAAAACGCCAATCGCTTGTTTTCAAAATTTTAAAAAGTTTAATAGTAATAAAATGGTTAGAAAAATAGCAATACAATTAGAGTAATAATAATTTGGACAATTTGAATTAGGACAATATGAGACAATAAATACAAAGAGTTACGGACGTCCGGGTACCTTTTTCTGGGCAGCACGAGCCCGAAAAAAGGACCCACGTTAACAGAGGATTAACCCTTAAAAACAACAACCTGTTGCATATTCATACACTTCATACGTGATGCATAAATTCCATTCAAACACAGGATTCTGTCTAGTCATCGTCAACTTCTTCCTCCAAATCCTAACAGCGCCTTCGAGGCGGGAAGAAGTTCGTTTCTTATGATAAGAAGGCAATAAATTCTTATTGCCTGAAAGATTCAGGTGTCCTGTGGCTGCTATCTCGCTGCGAGTCCTTTCTTTTTAAAACAAAGTATCCTACATAGCATCGTTTCTATTTTAACAATTTTTATAACCTAAAACTATATTTAACACAGTAGTTAAGAAAACGAATACAGCATTACTTTCTAACGCAACACATATAATATTCATTTCAATATTTGCGAAAAGCCAATGATAAAATACTGGAGGTGCCTTTGTCAGAGAAGCTCCTGCCAGTGCTGCAGGCCGTGCTGGGGCGGCAGGTGAGGAGCCCCCCTTGTCCCCAAGTCCCATTAATTGATCCACCCAAATTGATTTATGGCAATTAATGACTCTCATTAAGGGCCCAGCTGGAGATCCAGGCGTTATCCCCCCGGCAGTAGCAGCCAAATCCCGTGGGCTGCCCGGGCCCCACACCCTGTTTGGGGTTTTGGAAGGGTTTAACCCCATTCTAATAAATAACTGAGGAAGAAAAGCATGGAAGAAGGCTTTTTAACCTATCCTTTGTTCACAATTAACCTTTATGAGTCTTAAGCTGATTTAGGAGCATTTGAATTAAAGCTTTAAAGATGTTGTTTTTTGACAGGAACTTTCTGCTTGTAAGCCTTAAAGAATTTTGCAGTAATAACCTTTCGAAGTATAATTTTAGAATATTGCTTGTAGTAAGGATCTTTGTAACTATAGCTTTAGAATATATAAAAAAGGAAACATGCTTATCTCACACCTTAACAAAACAGTGAAAAGCAGCTTGAGAAAGGAAGATGAACATCAACTCAAGCATTTATAGTTTCGACCAAGGGAAGCTGGACATCGCTGTTATGAGATTTATAGTCCTTGCAATCAAAAGGTGGACCCACATCTGGAATCTGCACCTCACCAGCTGGGAGACTTCTTTCTTCTTTTGGAAACTGGACCTCAACATATGGGATACTCCTTTCTGGGATACATCCTGAGAAAAAATAAATCACAGTAGTGCATAGAAATGTGACGTAAAAATTGAGAATAGAAACTGCTGATGAGTAAAAACTGAGAATAGAAACTGCTGATAAGTAAAAAATGGGAATAGAAACTTTGAAACTATAGCTTTAGAATATATGTATTATATATTCTATATAATATATATAGAATATATATTTTATTCTATCTATATTCTCTATATATTATATAGAATATATACTATCTATTCTATATATTCTATATAATATATAGAATATAGAGTACATATTCTATATTATATAGAATATATATTGTATAGAATATATTCTATATATTCTATATATTATGTATAATACATAGAATATATAGAATATCTATTCTCTATTTATTCTATATAATATATATATTTTATAGAAACTGCTGAGAAAGCTGATGAGTACCCCTATAAATACCTGTAATCCTCAACTATCAGTGTGGAGGGAAAACTTCCCCCACTGTACCCAGCGCTGTATTGCTTGTTATAAGTGGCGGTGAGGAACCACTGACAAGTGAGTCCACATGAAATGTAATTTATTGATTGATAGAGCAAGCGAAGGAAGGAAAAGATGAGACCCCCACTGAATGGTTGGAAAGATTAAGGAAGAGTTTTCAGTTCTACTCAGGGGTGGACCCAGAGACGCCAATGGGGCAAGCGCTCCTTAAAACACAGTTTGTAGCCAAATCATGGGAGGATGTTCGAAAGAAATTAGAAAAGTTAGAGGATTGGCAGGACAGAGGGCTTGATGAATTGCTCAGGGAGGCTCAGAAGGTGTATGTTAGACAGGAGGATGAGGCACACAAAAGACAAGTTCGGATGATGGTGGCGGCAGTCAGGGAGGGACAGAGAAACAACCCTCCAGCACGAGAAAGAAATGGCATGAGGAGAGGTCCCCGGGATTTAGGAGGACCCCCAACTGGAGGGAGAGAAGGAACAGTGTGCTACTATTGTGGTGGAAAAGGACACATGAAGAGGGAATGCCGAAAGAGGCTTGGGGATGAGAAAACGTTCAAAGAGGATTAGGGGGGGTCAAGGGCTCTATTGGGGACCCAAATGTCAACGGAGCCCTTGGTAAAACTTAAGGTGGGTCCCCAGCAAACCCCCATAACCTTCCTTGTAGATACAGGGGCTGAGAGATCAACAGTTCAATCTTTGCCCCTGGGATGTAAGATTTCACCTTCCACAGTACAGGTTATTGGGGCAAAAGGAGAACCCTTCAAGGTTCCTGTAATTAAAGATGTCTTAATAGAATCAGAGAAGAAAATAGGGGTAGGATCACTGCTACTGGTCCCCGAAGCTGATTACAATTTATTAGGAAGAGATTTAATGGTGGAATTAGGGATAAACATAACTATTGAAGAAAAACAGCTGAAAGTCAGGTTGTGCCCCTTACGGGTCACTGACGAAGAGAAAATCAACCCAGAAGTCTGGTATACCCCTGATACAGCAGGAAGATTGAATATAGAGCCCTTCACAGTCAACATTCAAAGCCCAGAAATCCCAGTAAGGATAAAACAATATCTGATGTCAGATGAGGGGCGAAGGGGACTAAAACCAGAGGTAGAATGGTTAATACAACAAGGGCTCCTGGAACCTTGCATGTCTCCCTTCAACAGCCCCATCTTACCTGTAAAGAAACCAGACGGAAAATACCGATTAGTACATGATCTAAGGGAAATAAAGAAGAGAAGCATTGCCTGGTTCCCTGTAGTAGCAAACCCCCATGTTATAAAATTGACTCGAAACGAGTAATTTCCAATCAAAGAATTTATTAATTATTGAAGCAGTTATACTACGTAAGCAAAAGCTCAGCGCTGGGCGACAGGGGAGTCTCTGCTCCACCTACTGCCGCCCCAACTAGTTTCTGATTCAGTCCTTTTATCCTCTCCATCCTTCAGGAGTCCATGTTATCTCAGAGTTCTCTGCGCCTGCGCTGGTTGTTGCTAGGGGTTCATCCTTCTGCCTCCTGGTGGTCGGTGATGAAGGCTGCGGAGTCTTCCTCAGCTGCGTCTTCTTCACCCTGTCTTTATTTGGTGACTTCTCTGTGGAAAATTACCAAGATCTTATGATTAACGCAATATGTGCCCTATCAAGCTTAAGCAAGCAAATGTCCTGCCTTGCAAACTGTGCCCTATCAAGCTTCAGCAAGCAAATATCCTGCCTTGCAAACTGTTTATCTGCCCCTGCCCCTTCCCCAGCTTTTCCCTGGTCGTTATTTCTGTGAGTTATCTGCTTGTACCATCTGCTGGGTGGGACTATGTGTGGGCTCCTGCAACCCCTTCCCTGGTATCCTTGTGGCTCATATCTCATGAAGTAGTACAGAAATAGTCAGCAGACAACTCTTGTAACACACTGGTCTCTTTCTCATGACGAACAGAATGTAGTCCCTCATCTCACCCCATGCATTGCTCAGTCAATTGAAACCAGATGATCACTGGTATAGTGTTATAGATGTGAAAGACGCCTTTTGGGCATGCCCCTTGAAAGAAGAATGTAGAGATTATTTTGCATTTGAATGGGAAGATCCCGATACCCACCGAAAGCAACAACTAAGGTGGACAGTGCTCCCACAGGGATTCACAGAATCCCCGAATTTGTTTGGGCAGGCACTAGAGCAAATAATGAAATCCTATACCCCGAACCAAAGAATAACCATTGTTCAATATGTAGACGACCTGTTAATTGCTGGAAAAAGCGAGCCTAGAGGAGCGGAGACTCCCGGCCGCCCAGCGCTGAACTTTTCTTATTCTCGCTTGCATAATAATAAAGATAATTATACGATCCTTGAATCCAGTGAACTCGTTTATCACACCAGGATCCCCTTGTCCGTGGATATTCCACGCCCTGGGGGTGCAGGATCCCCTTGTCCGTGGATATTCCACACTCTGGGGGAGCAGGGGCCCCTCTCCCATGGATATTCCAGGCCCCGGGGGTGCAATTTGCGGATCTTTCTCCCACCCCGCCGATGGATCCGAGGTTCCCGGAGGAGTTCGGATCCCCGGGGGATGCGGGAAGCGGCGCGTCCCGGGCTCTGCGCGCTCCCGCTCCGCTCGGGGGCGGAATCAGCGCCGAGAGCGGGATGGGAGGAGGAAGGGAAACTCCGGGGGAGGGACGGAGAGCTCCGGGAGAGCTCCGGGAGGGCTCCGGGAGAGCTCCGGGAGGCCTCCTCAGGAGGGATCGGCTCCCGCTGGATATTGGTGTGGAACGAGACCGGGCTGCGGGACGGGAGGATTGGGGTGCGGGGAAGGACTGGGATTCAGAGGTGCAGGATTGGGATTCAGGTATTCAGGATTGGGGTGCAGAGGTGCAGGATTGGGGTGCAGGGAGGCTCTGGGATTCAGGATTGGGTTGCAGAGATGCAGGATTGGGGTGCAGGGAGGGATTGGGGTGCAGAGGTTCAGGACTGGGATTCAAGATTGGGGTGCGGGGCTCTCCAACCCCTCCACGCTCCAGTGCTGCCACCCCGCAATTTAGGGACAAAAATGGGATTTCGGGCTGGCGGGGAGCTCACCCAAGCCCCCGTGTCCCAACCCGGATCCCTTGGGGACATCACGGGGTGACCCGCGGGGTTGGCAGGGACACGTGGCAGGGACAAACCGAGCCTGGGGCAGGCACAGGGGGTGCCAAGGCACTGCCAGCCCCGTGTCCCCTCCAGGGGACAGCGAGCGGGTCTCGGTGTCCATGCCGGTGTCCCTGGAGCTGTGGCAGCGCTCCGGACGCGGGGCTGGCAGCAGCAGCAGCAGCAGCACGGGTGGCACCTGGCTGGCAGCGTCCCCAAGGCGGCAGTGACGTCCCTGGGGGACGGGCTGAGCCAGCCTCTCCCCCCCTCCAGCGGATCCCGCAGCTCCGGGGCTCCTCCGGAAGGATGTTCCACCGGTCGGGCTGCAGGAGGAGCTTCCCCAGGGAGGTACGTGCGGCTGGAAGGGTCTCCTGGAGCTCTCCTGGGAATCTCCTGGGGCTCCCCTGGGGCTCCCCCCTGGAGCTCTCCCGGGGCTCCTCTGGGACTCTCCTGGGGCTCTCCTGGAACTCCCCTGGACTGGGGCTCTCCTGGGGTTCCTCTGGAGCTCTCCTGGGGCTCTCCTGGAGTTCCCTGGGTTGGGGCTCTCCTGGGGCTCTCCTGGGGCTTTCCTGGAGCTCTCCTGGAGCTCTCCTGTGGTTCCCCTGGGGCTCCCCTGGGGCTCTCCTGGGTTGGGGCTCCCCTGGGGCTCTCCTGGGGCTCTCCTGTGGTTCCCCTGGGGCTCCCCTGGGCTGGGGCTCTCCTGGGTTGGGGTGGGAGCCCAGCAGCACCCGGGGCCACCCTGGGTACCCACCACCCCATCTCCACCCCTGGGGATGCTGAGGAGCCAGGAGAAGGTCAGGATGAGGAGGAACCCTGGATCATCTGGGCTCTCCCTGGGCAGCTGGGTGTGCTCCTGGCTCCCCATCCCCGCCTGCTCCTGGGGCTCTCACAGCTCTGATCTCTCCACAGCCTGCCCCGTGGTGGGATGGACCGTGGCCACATCCCCCTGCTGGCCCTGAGGACACCTGGGATGAACCACCTTGGGATGGGCCACCTCAGGATGGGCCAACCTGGGATGCACCAGCCTGGGATGAACCACCTCGGGATGGGCCACCTCGGGATGGGCCAGCCTGGGATGAACCACCTCGGGATGGGCCACCTCGGGATGGGCCAGCCTGGGATGGATCACCCAGGCATGGACCACCTCAGGATGGGCCACCCAAGCATGGGCCAGTCCAGGATGCACCAGCCCGGGATGGGCCACCTCGGGATGGGCCACCCAGGCATGGACCACCCAGGCATGAACCACCCAGGCATGGGCCACCTCGGGATGGGCCACCTCAGGATGGGCCAGCCTGGGATGGACCACCCAGGCATGAACCACCTCGGGATGGGCCACCCAGGCATGGGCCAGCCTGGCATGAACCAGCCTGGGATGAACCACCCAGGCATGGGCCAGCCCGGGATGGGCCACCTCGGGATGAACCAGCCTGGGATGGACCACCCAGGCATGAACCACCTCGGGATGGGCCACCCAGGCATGGGCCACCTCAGGATGGACCACCCAGGCATGGGCCACCTCGGGATGGGCCACCCAGGCATGGGCCAGCCTGGGATGGACCACCCAGGCATGGGCCACCCAGGCATGGGCCACCCAGGCATGGGCCACCTCGGGATGGGCCACCCAGGCATGGGCCACCTCGGGATGAAGCAGCCTGGAATGGGCCAGCCTGGGAGCAGCAGCCCAGCAGACGCCAGTGCAGGAGGCACCCGGTAAGGGGACAGGGCTGGGGGGACATGTCCCAGGGAAGGGTCACAGTTTGTCAGGGACACCCTCCCAAGGCACAGCAAGGAGCCCCTGGCTCACCAAACCCCACCCCAAAACCGGTGTGGAGATGTCTGCATGCACTCGTGGTCCCCCAGGCACAGACAGGAGTTTGTGGCTTTCTGAATCCCAAAAAGGAGTCTGGAAATGTCAGGATCCAGCAGTTTGTGTCTAAAGGATTTCACAGCTTTACCCCCACCAGGATTAAGAGTGGCAAAATAAATACATTTACATAGGTATGTGTAATATATCTATGTAAATATATTTATATAAAAATGTATTTATATATATATATATAATATATATATAACTATATATATATAAAAATAACTATATATATATATTTATATATATACATATATATAAAAATAAATAATTTATTTATTTCCACAGATGGCCAGGATCTCCACTAGTTATCTACAGTGCAGTGAGGATGCTGTTATGAATAAGGCCCTATATGTCTTAATTTATTAAACCACAAAATTAGAACTTAGCAGCAGTTTTAATTGAGCAGCAATTTTATATAAAATGAAGTAAGCATGTACAAAGTAAATTTGGCAGTGATTTCAAGGCTGATTCCTTAATTATGCCAAGGCCTATTCTATTTTGGGATGTTACTTATCTCAAACTACATCCTGTATCCTATTTTCTCATGAACATCTGAAAACATCTCTTTTGTGGCACTAATTACATATCCTTTTCCTCTATTCCTTTTTAACAAATATTTTCTAAAATATCAATATATTTACAATTACAATATATTTATGTTATATATATTGTATATTATATAATATATAATATTATACTGTATCTATTATATATTATACTATATTATATTTTTACATTATATATTATATATTTATAATATATAATATTTTATATATTTACAAATACAATATATTTACAATTGTTAGCACAAGTCACATTCATTTATCACGATGGTTACACCAGGGCACTGCTAATTAAATCAATAGTTTCATTGTTAATTAGCAATTACAGCTTGGATTGATGTTGCTCACCCAGACCCACACAAATCTCTTTGGCTCAGCCTCCAGGAGTGACCCTGAGGGGCTCCAGAAATGAACCCACACTCACTCCTGGGAGGGTTCTGCTGGAAATTTCCCTGTTCAAAAGTGGGGTTCAGCTTTTACAGCATGGAATGACAGATGCTGGGGGGGGGTTTGTGGAGCATTTCTCCTTAAAAAATCAAATTTCTGCCCTCTGGTTCCTCCCAGGAAACATCTGCCCCTGTTCCCTGCCATTGCTCTCAGGGTTTCACATCCTCGTGGGGTTTCATTTTCGGATTTTTGAGTCAGTGCTGCTCTCAGGGTTCTCCACCACTGCTGGCAGCCTGATCCCCCCTTCACTGCTGCTGATTTCCACAGTCGGGTGAAATCTGAGCTGGTTGCATCCTGCTGCAAAGGGGGATTCACCCACAAACCCCAAAGCAGGGAGCAGGAGGGGCACAAAGAGCTGAGGGTCGCAGTGGGGAGGGGGAGCAGCAAGAAATCCCAAAATTCCCAGTGGGCTCATGGGAAAAAAATCCCAAAATTCCCAGTGGGCTCATGGGAAAAAAAATCCCAAAATTCCCAGTGGGCTCATGGGGAAAAAACTCCCAAAATTCCCAGTGGCTGTGTCCTCACCGTGGCCCTTCCCTTTGCAGCCCAGCCCCAGGGCCCCCAGAGCGTTCCGTGGCCCTGGGGACATCTCCTGGAAGGAGGAGGAGCGGGACAGGAGGTGGGCACCCCCCGAGTGTCCCCTGCCGCCGCCCTGGGATGACAGAGCAGCCATGCCAGGAGCCGAGGGTGACTTTGGAGAGTGCTGGTACCAGGTGAGGGGGGTGCTGACCTGGCCATGGTGGCAGCCGCGGTGGCTGAAATGGGGCAGGGGCCACTCACTGCCCGGCGACAAGGACAGTGTGTGGGCCCCCTCTGGCCCGTCCCATTCCCTAAATCCAGCTTATCCCTGCAGGATCCACCTCCTGACCCCTGGCCCGAGTACCCCGAGGAGGAGCAGCCCCAGCCCTGGCCCCCCTCCGGCCCTGCAGGGTGGGTGCCGTGCCCGGGGGGTGACAATGAGCGACACCAGCACCGCTGGGAGCTGTCCCTGCCTGGGCTGGCATTGCACAGAGACCCCTCCCAAGCCAACCCTCCGCACCCTGGGGCTGTGCTCCTGCAGGAATCCGGGGAATTTCCACCAACACCGCCCGCCCTGGAGCCACCACCCGGCCGGGACACGACGGAGCCACCCCCGGCAGCTGCTCCTGGTGCCCCGGGCGAGGTGTCCCCGACCCTCCCGAGGTCTGTGCTGTCCCTTTGCCGGCTCCTCGCTGCTTTTCATCCTCTCCTGAGCCAGGCTGAGGAGTTCCTGCCGTTGTTTCCCACCCTGCAGGGCACAAGCCACGCTCCAAGCCCTCCTGTCCTGCCCCCTCCAGGAGGAGCCAGCCCGGGGCCAGGAAGGAGCCGCAGCCCCCGGAGCCTCCCCAGGCCCCTGCTCCTCCCCCAGGAGCTGCCGAGAGGCGGGAGCAGCCGCAGGTGAGGGGTTTTACCTGTCCCCTCCCATCCCACAGCAGGGCTGCGCTCACCCCGAGCCCTGCACGCTGCCCTGGTTCCCTCCAGGATGTGCCAGTGGGGACTGGGAATGTTCTGGAGCCGCCCAGCCCAGCCAGGAGCCCTCTGGAGAGCCCAGCTGCTGATGCTGGTGCTGCAGAGCTGCAGGTAGGAGATTCCCCCGTCCCAGGGGTGCTCCCAGCTCTGGAGCTGCCTGGCTCAGGGGTGTCCTTGGCTGCTGGGACATCTCCCTCCTCCCTGATCCGGCCTTTCCCCTCTCCACCTCACTTTTTGCCAGGCATGGAGTTTTTCCAGGCTTTTCTCTGTGTGTTCTCCTGTGGGTTTTAGCACCCTGTGCATCCCATCCCATCCCATCCCATGGATCCCATCCCATCCCATCCCATCCCATCCCATCCCATCCCATCCCATCCCATCCCATGGATCCCATCCCATCCCATCCCATCCCACTCCCTTGCCTGTCCCCAGGTGAAGCTGGAAGCTGGGCAGAGCCCTGTGGGCAGCCAGGATCAGGATCCCTGTGCCCCAGGAACAGATCCAGCCCCTCCAGAGGAGACCTCCAGGAATCCTGAGATCCAGGAGCACCTTGAGGTATGGGACTGCTGGGGAGGGGCACAGGATCAGCTCCAGGCTCCACAAATCCTCCCCACCAGCAGCACACGCAGCTTCCCCTGGGGATGTTTTCTATTTTTTCTATTCTTTTTTCTATTCTTTTTTCTATATTTTTCTATTATTTCTATTGTTTCTATTTTTTTTTCTATTTTTCTATATTTTTATTTTTTTCTATTTTTCTATTTTTTAATTTTTTCTATTATTTTCTATTCCCACCCTAAAGCAGAGCCTGCAGGGAGGCACAGCCCCCTTCCCAAACCCTTTGTCCCCTCACTGTGGGACTCCACAATGCCCCTAATCCCACTCTGAAATTTAAGTTTAATTAGAGATAAATAAATATTTATTTATTATTTATATTATTTATTTATAAGTATTTCTTATTTGAGTATTTTTATTATTATTATTATTATTATTATTATTATTATTATTATTATTTACTTATTAAATAAGTTATTATTATTATTTATTTATTTATAAATAAGTATTTAGTAGCCAGAGGCACACACACACTTTTCAGTCCTTTGTGCTGCTGCAATTGCACAACTTCCTCAAATTTCTTGGCACATTCTCAGGGCAAGTTTGCCACAGCTCCACCCTGGCTTGCTGCTGGGTCTGAGGGTCCATCCAGGCACCTCAGGGTGGTCTCCTGATGCCACTTTAGACCTGGCATTCTCTTTTTGTGCTGTTTTGTTCTCTGCCTGTGCTATCTTGGTTCTGTATTTTGTTATCTCCTGTGACGGCCTTGCTTCGTGCACATTTTCAGTTCCACAACCCATTACAAATTTGCCTTCTGTCCTGAAAGCAGTTACAATTTACAAGCAATTACCATTTATAATAATAATAACAACAGTTCACCAAATTTGTTTGTTTGTATCACACAGGTGGAGCCGTGCAGCGTCCCCAAGGCTGGCAGCGGTCACGGGTCCCATCCCCAGAGCCCAGCAGCCCCTCCAGACCCTGCCAAGAGGGAAATCCTGGAAATCTCCAGCTGCTCTGGAGAGGCAGGGGCTGAGCTCAGCCCACACTCCTGGGAACAGCCGCCCTGTGGGGCTGGAGAAGCTGAGGCAGAAGCTGCCCAGGCTGGGGTGAGTCTGGGATGTGGGGCAGCTCCGTGTCCCCACCCCGTGGGGGACAGCACTGTCCCCACATGCTGGCGGTGCTGTCCCCCTGTCCCAGCACAGCCACTCTCTGTCCCTCAGCCTCTGCAGAGCCTTCAGCCTCCTGAAAACCCTCAGCTTCCTCCAGGATCTGCAGCAGAACCCAAAGCTCAGCCCAGCCAAGCTTCTCCGGGTGCCTGCACCACACCAGTGACCTCCCCACAGCCCCAGCACCCACCTGGGGCTGGTGACACCAATCTGGTACGGGGTCTGGGTGCCCCCCAGTGTCCCCCTGGGCTTGGGGACGCTGCCCTAGCCCAGGGGGATCCCTGTGGCTGCAGGATCTGGGGTTAAGGGGCAGCTTTGTCTGGAGGCACAGCCCGTGTCGGCCCCGGGACACGGCTGGGAAAAGAGCCAGGGCAGGAACCCGAGGCTCAGGGCTGCTGGGGTGTGAACAGCCCTGGCATGGAGCTCTGAGGAAGCCAAGGAGAACCCTCCAGAGCAGCTTAATTACTGCTAATGAGGGAGAGAACTTGGGCAAAGAGGGGAAGTGGGGTGGCACCCAAGGGAAGGTGACAAACCAGTGGCTCCTTCCACAGGGTGACCAGTCCTGGCCTGGTGACCAGCGCTGGCAGCCCCAGTGTGCTCAGTCCCTTTCCCCTCTGAGCTTTCCTTGGCATTTTTGAGCCAGTGCTGCTCTCAGGGTTCTCCACCACTGCTGGCAGCCTGATCCCCCCCCTGCACTGCTGCTGATTTCCACAGTCGGGTGAAATCTGAGCTGGTTCACCCAAATTACATCCTGCTGCAACGGGGGATTCAACCTTTGCCTTTTCCGCCTGCCAGGCTGTGTGTGGCCAGCAGCAGCTCTGCTCAGAGCCCCCCACACCATCCCCAGCTGACCTCGACTCCCGCTTGGCTGCTGTCCTCAGGAGGAAGGCAAAGATCGAGCTGGTGAGTCCTGGAGAGCACCCGAGGGTCTGGGAGAGCTCCAGGATGGGGAATCTCACCTGAGGAGCTTTGGGAGCCATGCTGGGTGGTGAATTTGGTGTTTGGGGGGCTTGCAGGGGGAGCTGCTATGGGTTTGCAGGGGTTTGGATGATATTTGTGGGGTTTGTGGGCTAAAATCAGGGGTGGTTTGGTGCTGGTTTTGGGGTGCTCAGCCCTTGGCCCTGCTCTGCGGGTCTGGGAGCAGCTCCAGGATGGGGAATCTCACCTGAGGAGTTTTGGGAGCCATGCTGGGTGGTGAATTCGGCATTCTGGGGGACTTGCAGAGGTTTGGATGGTATTTGTGGGTTTGTGGGTTAAAATCAGGGGTGTTTTGCTGCTGGTTTTGGGGTGCTGAGGCCGTGGCCCTGCCCTGCAGTCGTACCAGCAGTTCAGCCTGAGCATTGCTAAAATCAGGGGTGTTTTGGTGCTGATTTTGGGGTGCTGAGCCCTTGGCCCTGCCCTGTGGGTCTGGGAGCAGCTCCAGGATGGGGAATCTCACCTGAGGAGCTTTAGGAGCCATGCTGGGTGGTGAGGGTGTGAATTTGGTGTTTTGGGGAGCTTCCAGGGGGAGGTGCTGTGGGTTTGCGTGGCCTCAGATGATGTTTGTGGGTTTGTGGGTTAAAATAGGGGTGTTTTGGTGCTGATTTTGGGGTGCTGAGCCCATGGCCCTGCCCTGCAGTCGTACCAGCAGTTCAGCCTGAGCATTGCTGTGGTGGCCACGATGCTGCTGCACAAGGAGCCCTCGATGGAGGCGGCGCTGGGGGTGGCACTCAGGGCCAACCTGCGCCAGGGCTGCCTGCACCACCTGCAGCAGCTGGAGGAGTTCATTGACAGCCTGGACTCCATGGGCTCCCCCAGCCTCTGATGGCAGCCACCCCCTCCTGCCCTGGGACAGGGCTGGGACAGCGCCCTGGGGTGCTCAGGAGGGTGCTGAGCCTGCAGGATGAGCTGGGAGGTGTTGGCAGCCCCCTTGGAGAAGGGAGGGTGAGCGGGATGTGTTTGGTTTCAGCCCTGCCCAAAGCCCCGAGGGCAGCAAAAGTGTCACTGGTTTACCTGGAGGGAGGGCAGCAGTGCCTGTCCTCCTTTCCTCATTGCCAGGAATGTGTCCCCAAACCCCAGCGAGTGTTTTTGGGTTTAAATCTGCAAATAAAGCGTGTTCTTTTTGCAGCCCTTGCTGTGCCATTGTTCTGTTCCTGCAAGGGAGGGGTCCCACAGTGAACCCTGGCTGTGGCAGAGGGCACAGATCACCCCTGGGGACCTCCCAGCCCTGGTGACATTGTCAGTGTCACAATGGGGTGGGAAGGGACAGGGCAGAGCCTGAGTTCAGATTTCAGCCAGATTTTATTGCAGATTTGTCACCTGAGACCAGAGCTGCACCCCTGCTCCCCTCCCCATGGGGACACGGTGCCACCAGGGATGGAGAGAGGTGGCAGTGGGGCCCTGGTGACATTGTCAGTGTCACAATGGGGTGGGAAGGGACGGGGCAGACCCTGAGTTCAGATTTCAGCCAGATTTTGTCCCCTGCCCGTGGTGGCAGCGGGGACACGGTGCCCCAGGGATGGAGAGAGGTGGCACGGAGCAGTCCCGGGAAGGATCCCCCGTGCTCCCCAGCAGTGGGGGGATGCTGGCAGCTGCCCCGCTCCGGAGCTGCCGCCTCGTGGGAGGTGCTGGGGGCCGGCCCGGCCCCGCTCCCTTCCTGCTTTACCTGTTCCTAATTGCGGCAGAGCCCGGCAGGAATGGCAGCCTCTGCTCTGCCGGGGGCAGCGATCCCAGCCGCTTCTCCCACCAGCCTTGGGCCGCCGCCAGGGTGTGATTGGAACGCGCTGAGGCCATGGCAGGAGCTGGCAGTGCCACTCGGGACCCCCAGCCCGCTGTTAGCACACGCTGCAGTGCTTGGCCGTCCTGCCCCTGCCCCTGCCCGGGGGCTCCCTGCCCAGGGAATCCATGCCGGGCTTGGGGATGGGCTTCCCGAAAAAGAAACCCTCCTCCTCCGAGTCTGAGTCCGAAGATGAGGAGCAGGTGGGGCACCAGGAGTCCTCCTCTTCCTCCTCCTCCTCCTCCTCTGTGCCATCCCCTGCCCGGGCGCCGTGTCGGGGACGGGAGGTGCCCGCCTGGAGCTCTGGGTTTCCATTGCCTGCAGCTCTTCGGGGTTCAGGGGACCCCAGAAGGGGTCTGGGCTCGTTGGGGGGCTCTGGGCCGGGCTGGGGGGCTGAGGGGTGGCCGGGTGGGGGTCCCAGCACCCCTGGGTGCTCCTTGGCAGTGTCGCTGCTCCGCTCCCGTGGGGCTGCTCCGAGATCCTCGGGGCTCCTGAACGCGGGGTGCACTGGGGGCTGCTCTGAAAACGCCTCTGCAAGAGGGGAGCGGGGTGTGAGGGAGGGAGGAGAAGCTGAGCCTGTCCTCCCACAGCCCTCCCACAACAAGGGACACAACGGGCTGGCACCCAGCCACCCACCCCTGGCTCCCACCGTGGGGACTTTGTCACCAATTCCCACAGTGTGACATTAACAGGAAAGTCCCCAGAGCCTGGATTTGCTCTCACCCGTGGCAGCAGGATCCTACCAGCCCCAAAGTCTCCTGGATTTCTCCCCTCTCACCCCATGGCAGTGGGGTCCCACCATCCCCAAAGTCCCAAAATCCCCTGGATTTGCTCTCCCCCCATGGCAGAGGCTCCTACCATCCCCAAATCCCCTGGATTTGCTCTCCCCCCATGGCAGCAGCTCCTACCATCCCCAAAATCCCCTGGATTTGCTCTCCCCCCACGGCAGCAGCTCCTACCATCCCCAAAGTCCCCCAAATCCCCCAAATCCCCTGGATTTGCTCTCCCCCCATGGCAGCAGGTCCCACCATCCCCAAAGTCCCCAAAATCCCCTGGATTTGCTCCCACCCCACAGCATCAGGTCCTACCATCCCCTAATCCCCTGGATTTGCTCCCATCCCACGGCAGCAGCTCCTACCATCCCCAAAGTCCCCAAAATCCCCTGGATTTGCTCCCACTCCATGGCAGAGGCTCCTACCATCCCCAAAGTCCCCAAAATCCCTTGGATTTGCTCTCCCCCCACAGCATCACCTCCTACCATCCCCAAAATCCCCTGGATTTGCTCCCACCCCATGACAGAGGCTCCTACCATCCCCAAAATCCCCAAAATCCCCTGGATCCCTGGATTTGCTCCCACTCCATGGCAGAGGCTCCTACCATCCCCAAAATCCCCTGGATTTGCTCCCACCCCCACAGCATCAGCTCCTACCATCCCCAAAATCCCCTGGATTTGCTCTCCCCCCACAGCATCAGCTCCTACCATCCCCAAAGTCCCCAAAGTCCCCAAATCCCCTGGATTTGCTCTCCCCCCACAGCATCAGCTCCTACCATCCCCTTCCCCTCCCTGCCCGCCGCCCGCCGCTGCCGAGCTCCTGCCGGCGGCTCCGGCCGGGGGCCCGGGCGTGCACTCGGGGGACGGAGCGGAGGCGAAGGCGGAGTCCGAGGAGTCGGAGGCGGTGGAAGAAGCGTCCTGGCCGCGGCTGCAGGTGTCGGAGCAGAAGAGGCGGCCGCGGCGGCAGGTGAGGGGCTGTCCCCGCAGCGGGGCCCGGCACAGGCTGCAGCACAAGCAGGAGGCTCGGGCGTGCCAGTGCAGCCCCTGGTGCGTGACCTGCTCGCTGTCGGCACCTGCGGGGCGGACACGGCTGAGGGAAAGGTGCTTCGAAACGAAACGAAACCAAAAAAAAACCGAACCAAAGCAAAAAACTACCCCAAAACAACAACAACAACAACAAAACAGACAAGCCAACCAACACCCCCAAAAAACCCAAAAAAAACCCGAAAAAAACCCCCCAACCCCTCCAAAAACAACAACAAAAAAAAGAAAACCAAACCAAACAACAACAAAAAAACCACCTAAACGACAAAAAAAAAACAAAACAAAAAAAACCCCCAAAACCCCCAAAACAAAACAAAAACAACCCCCCTCAAAAAAAAAAAAACCAAAAAAACCCCAACCCCCCACCAAAAAAAACCCCAAAACCAAACCAAAACAAACCAAAAAAACCCCAAACCACAAAAAAAAAAACCAAAATAAACCCCAAAAAACCCCAAACCAAACCAAAAAAAACCCCAAAAAAACCAACACCCCCCCAAAAAACCCCACAAAACTAAAAAACCCCAAAAAACAAAACAAAAGAAAAAAGAAAAGACAAACCACAAAAAAACCCAAAATAAACCCCAAAAAACCCAAACCAAACCAAACAAACAAAAAAACCAAAAAAAAACCCCCGCACTCCAAAAAAAAACCCCAAAAACCCCCCCAAAAAACCCCAAAATCCATGCTCTGAAGCGTGGGGGGGCCCTGCAGGGTGGCGGCCGTACCGATGGGGTCCCCGCACGCCTGGCACGGCTCGGCAAAGAGGCTCTCGAAGCAGCCCCGGCAGCAGGGGCGGCCGCTGCGCATCACGTAGCGCTGCCCCCGCAGGGGCTCGTCGCATTCCAGGCAGCAGAAATGCTCCAGGTGCCAGCGCCGGCCCTCGGCCTCGATGCACTCCTCCATGAAGATCAGCTGGAATGGGACAAAAAACAAACCCCAGGCTCTCAGCACCCCACGGTGCTTTGCTGTGCTGGGTGGTGATGTGTGGGAACTCAGCGCATCCCTCCGGGTGGCCAGGGTTCCCCAGGACCCCAGACCCTGGCACGCAGCCCAGAGCACCTGGGGATTTGATTGTGACCCCTGGAGCGAGTTACCAGCTTTGTATGAGGACCTGAAAGTCACAGAAGTTTAAATAGCATAATAATAAAATGATCACAGGGTGAAAAGGTCGATTTTAGGATTTTTGGAATGGGGACAAGATGGAGGAACTTGGGCATGTCCAGCCTTTCTTCTTCTTTTTCTTGGTCTCCATTTTCTGCAGTGATGTTGGCACTTTGGGGTGCAGGGAGCTGCCAGGCAGAGCTCAGAGCAGGACTGAGAGAAGAGAGGGGGAGAGAGGATGAGAGGGAAAGAGAGTAAAAGGGCAAGAGTGTAGAAAGGTAAGAGAGCAAAAGCATAAGGGGATCACCTTCGGTGGCCACACCATTGTTTTCCAGTTGTTCAGTAACTGAGAGATCTCAAAGCTTGCTTTCATTTCAATCTCACTTATAGTTTCTATATTCTCAAAATCTTTTTTTTGCCAGGCAATCATATTTATAAGGCTTTCCTGTTTCACCTTCCCCAACAGGCACCCACCTGGTCGCAGGAGGCACAGCGGGGTCGGAAGAGCTCGGCGTGGTGCCGGCCGCAGTAGATCCTCCCATCCTGCTGGAAGTAGATGAGATCCACCAGCTGCTGGTGGCAGAAGTGGCAGGAGAAGCAGGATGGGTGCCAGAACTGGTCGCCCAGGCGAGACGCCGACACCCCCGGGTCCCCTTTGTTCAGCCTCCGGCCGCACTGCAAGGCAGGGGGACAGCAGGTTTGGGGCAGGGCTGGCTTTTGGGGACAGCTCCCTGCCAGGGGAGGGGAGCTGGAGGGACAGCTCACCTTCCTGCAGGGACAGCCGTGGCAGGGCCCGGGCACGGGGCACGCCAGGCCCTGTCCCAGAGCCTCCTGTCGGCGGCGGGCGCTGAAGGCGCGGAGCTGGCGCCGCTCCTCCTCGGCGAGGTCGGGGCAGTAGCGCTCCTGTGGGGCACGGGGGTCAGGGCTGGGCTCTGCTGGGACACCCCCATCCCATTTCCTCTTCTATCCAACAACCTCAAGAACGCTCCCAGCACAATTACAAACACAGTCAAAACCTCCTTCTTAATCAGCCTAATCCCGATAACAATCTACATCCACTCTGGAGCAGAGAGCCTCACCTCCTTCTGGGAATGGAAGTTCATTATAAACTCCCAAATTCCCATCAGCCCGAAAATAGACTTCTACTCCCTTACCTTCCTCCCCATTGCACTATTCCCATTCATATCATGCTCAATCCTACAATTTGCAACATGATATATGGCCTCAGACCCCTACATTACAAAATTTTTCACCTACCTACTATTCTTCCTAATCGCTGTACTCATCCTAATCATGGCCAACAACCTATCTGTCCTATTCATTGGCTAAGAAGGAGTCGGAATCATATCCTTCCTTAGGAGTTTAGCTTTTATCTTTTCCAGACATTTATAATCCTGTAATTCTTTAGTGGTAAACTCTAAAGTTAGTGGTAAACTCTAAACTTTAGTGGTAAACTCCACACTCCACACACAGTGTCGGCTGTTGCTTTCACATTTTCACACAATTCCTCTCTAGGCCTGGCAATCAAACACCTCACTGGTCAGGCCCTGAGAGATGGGAACAAAAGGGAGTTGGGAGAGCAAATTTGGGGTCTTCATTACCTGCAGCTGTAATTGGAAGATTAACCCTCAATATGCAAATGGCCCAAACTTATAAAAGCGTGAAAACCCCGTAACCTGTGGTCCATTTTTGGTGTGGGCTTCAGCTGCATTTAGAGCAGCTGAATAATAAATAAAAGCGCTTTTTTTTCCCTTAATTTGGCCTGGCCTCTGTTTTTAGGGAGTCTCGAGAGCAGGTGAGGCCGGGGAGGGGAGCAGCAGCCGGGGAAGGGGGGTCTCACATCGCAGTCCTGGGGAGGCAGCTGCTGCAGGAGCGCTCTGGCGCGGAGCCGCGTCCGCTCACAGGCAGAGCCCGGCTGGGGCGAGCACGGCGGCACCTGGGGAGAAACACCAAGTTCAGAGGGGGATTGAAATGTGTCTAAGGGGCTGAAATGTGTGTTGAGGCCCAGAAACGGGGTGGGAACCACCCACCTCGGGGGGCTCCAGGTACTCCTCCAGGGCACAGCCGGAGTCGCTGTCGGACGAGGCCGGGGGGAGGCCCCCGGTGGTGCCGCAGGGAGAGGGCTCGTCCTGCTGGGGCCATGCAGGGCTCGGCAGGGACATCAGCTGGGGACAGAGAGAGAGCCACAGGTGTCAGACACGGGGCAGGGAGCAGGGATCCATCCCTGGACACAGATCCTGTGCCATGCAGGGCTCGGCAGGGACATCAGCTGGGGACAGAGAGAGAGCCACAGATGTCAGACATGAAGCAGGGAGCAGGGATCCATCCCTGGACACAAATCCTGTGTCCCTGTGGCTGCAGGACAAGCAGATCCTTGTCCCTTGCAGGGACCATGGGCCATGCAGGGCTTGGCAGGGACATCAGCTGGGGACAGAGAGAGAGCCACAGGTGTCAGACACAGGGCAGGGAGCAGGGATCCATCCCTGGACATGGATCCTGTGTCCCTGTGGCTGCAGGACAAGCAGATCCTCATCCCTTGCAGGGACCTGGGGCACATCCAGCTGGGATGATGCTCCAAGGCACCACAACCTTGAGATCTTTGGCTGAACCACTGCAGGAATCCAAGGGATTCTTGGGGGGGCTCCTTTCTCTTTGGGGGTTACAGCAAACCCACACTGAAGATACAGGCACCTGGCAGGGCTGGGGGTTTGTCTGCTGAGCGGGATGGGATGGGATGAGATGGGATGAGATGGGATGGGATGGGATGGGGATGAAGCCAGGCAGAGAAGACCCCAAATGCCCAAGCTCAAGCTGGAACAGGTTTTGGAAAACAGCAACACCCACAGCAGGAGCTTTCCCCCAGCTGCCACAGCTAATCCCAGGTCTGGTGGCCCATCCCTGAGTGGGAACAGACCGAGGTTGAGCCCAACTCAGTGGAAAATAATTCCTTCCCCTCGGGCTGCCATTGTTCTGCCCAGGGCTGTCCCAGCCCACAGCACACGCCTGGCTCAGGGTTAGGCAGTGAAACCCATCCGGAGCCCTCCCCTCCTCCCCACGTGGGCTCTTTCCACCACGGCGCTTCCTTCCTGCCCTGGCTTCCCAAAACAAAGGCCAGATGCTGCTGTGGTGGTGGCTCCTGGGGTTCCCTGGATGCCAGCCCAGAGCCTGACGCCCTCAGCCCACACTTCCTGCCCTGCCATGGGGAGCCAGGGTGGGATGGAGGGGAAAATCACGGAGCTGTGCCCAAACACACCCAGGGATTCGCCCCTGCAACGCCCACCACGGATGGATCAACCCCTCTGGAAAATGTTCCACGCATAAAACAGTCTCGGGGATGAGGGGTGAGAACCCCTAGACCATGAAATTTTGGTTCTCCTCCACCTCTGCCACCACGAGGACCCCGTTCCCTGCTCCACACTGGGATGGTGCTGGTGAGTCCCCCCTGCCAGGGACATCCCAGTGTCCCCAGTGCTCCCAGCAAACGCCTCCTGAGCAGCACCTGGGGCTGCTGGGATGTGGCAGGGGCAGCTCTGGGGCCCGGAGCAGGTGGGATCAGCTCAGGTTTCCCTGCCCTGCTGCCGGGTCAATGATTAACACACCGGCTAATCAGAGAGATAAAACAAAAAGGGCTGCTGGCTTTTTCCTGCCATTTGGGGTCTGGAACCCTGGGGGGATGCAGGGCGGGTTTTTTAGGGTGTTGTTCAAAGCTGTGCTTTGGGATAGGGATGAAATAATCTGGCTGGACTGGGTGTTTGCTGCCCAAAAAGAGCCCTGGCCTTGCTGGCTTGGTGAGGGACCACAGCCGGGCCAGGGATGCCGGGTGGGGACCCTCGTGTCCAGCCCCAGCTCTGCTGCCGCCTGGTTTGGGAAAATGTCCCCATTTCTCCCTCCCGTGGGAGGTGGGGGCATTCCCAGGCTGTGCTGGGCTCATTAAGCCTCCAAAGCTGCATTTGTGTAATCTCTTGGAACTTTGCTGTTAATTAGACCCCTGCGATGCTCGGGGGACTCGGGGGGGGTGGCAGTGCCAGCCTGGCCCCGTCCTGAGAGCCACAGGGACCCCAGGCAGGGCCACCAGCACGGGGGGGTGACCCTGGGGTGGGGAGGGCGGCTTGGGCAGGGCGGGGATGTGCCGGAGAGCCCAGCCCAGCCCAGTTTGATGTGATTACAGCGGCTGGCAGCCGTCTGGGCTGTAAACAAGTCCCTGTAATTAGCCCCAGACGGTGACAGAGGTACGCGCCTCCCATGCTAAAGAGCCAGGCAGCCCCAACAGGTCTGGCTCCTCCGCTCGCCAGCCCTGTCCCCTCTTCCTTCCTGCCCTCCCTCGCTGCCTCCGGGCTCTGCTGCCGCTGCCCTGCCCTGCCAAGGGATGCAGGGATGCTCCCAGCCTTGCCCCGGACCCGCGGCGGAGGTGGCACCGTGGTGGCACTTTAGGGCAGCGAGTCCCCGAGAAGGGACGTGCGACAGACCCGTCGGGCAGGCTGGGTGGCACCGGCTGTCATTTGCCTTGGCTGCAAATCCTCCGTCCTGCCTGTGCGAGCTCCTCCGGATGCGTTTTGCCCGAGCTCCTCTCTCGCTCTCCCCAAAGGATCGGAAGCCGTCGCGGCTCCCTGGGTACAAGAGGCTGGAATTCCTGGGAATGTTAATGGGATTTGGCTCGGCGGGAGCAGCCCCCGTCTCCAGCTGGCTGTGGGAGCCCGTGTGGGCTCTGCTGCCAAGGTCACACATTAACCTGGAGCTCAGCCACCCCAGCCTGCTCGGAATTCAGCGCAGGGAGCCGCATCCCATCCATCCCCGCCTCAACTTCGCTTCTGCAGAGTCCCCAGGGAGACACAACAACTCCAAAAAGCCCCTCAAAGCAGCGCTGGCAGCTCCCAGGGGCACAGATCCACGCTGGCCTCACCCACGGGATAACCTGTTTGTGCTTGAGCTCCCGTCAACACAGCTGCAGAGGCAGGAACAGAGATGCAGAGAAATGAAGATGCAGAACAACAAAGATGCAGAGAAACAAAGATGCAGAGAAATAAAGATGCAGAGAAATAAAATGCAGAGGAATAAAGATGCAGGGGAATAAAGATGCAGAGCAACAAAGATGCAAAGAATAAAGTTGCAGAGAATAAAGTTGCAGAGAAACAAAGATGCAGAGCAACAAGGATGCAGAGAAATAAAGATGCAGAGAATAAAGATGTAGAGCAAAAAGATGCAGAGAAATAAAGATGCAGAACAACAAAGATGCAGAGCAATAAAGATGCATCTTTTGGGGTGAGATAAGCTGAGGTCTGGCCGGGAGAGCCGGAGCAGCAAGTCCTGCCCGACCTGGAGCCGGTCCCACCGAGGAGCCCTCGGTGCCTTTTGGAGCTGGGGTGGCACCAGGTGGAGCAGCCTTGGTGCCACTGCTGGGCACAGCAGAGTGGTGGCCCTCGCTTTAAAAACGCCTTTGCAGCCCCCCCAAATGATGGGGAAGGGTCTCAGCATCCTCAGCGCCGTGTCCCCAGAGGGGACCGTGGCCTGGTGGCTCACCAGGGGATGTGCCAGCGCTGCCAAAGGCTTTTCCTGTGTTTTCCCGCGGGCACGGCAGGAGCAGTAATCCATTAACCCATTAACCCACCCTGGCTCACCCATTCGTACACCCGCAGGTACGGACCGAGACCCCCGCCCCTCCTCTCCCTGAGGCCACCGGGGCCAAGATTCGCGACCCCCTCCTCACCCCACGACCACGGGGATGGAGATTCGCGACCCCTCCATGTGGCCACTGGGATGAAGATTCGCGACCCCTCCTCTCCCCACGGCCACTGGGGTGAAGACCCCTCACTCGCCGTGACCACCAGGATGAAGATTCGCGACCCCTCCTCTCCCGGCGACCTCCAGAACGAAGCCCCCCACCCTTCCCAGTGGCCACTGGGGTGAAGATTCGCGACCCCTCTTCTCTCCCCACGGCCACCAGGATGAAGATTCGCGACCCCTCCTCTCCCCACGGCCACTGGGGTGACGACCCCTCACTCGCCGTGACCACCGGGACGAAGATTCGCGACCCCCTCCTCTCCCCACGGCCACTGGGATGGAGATTCGCGACCCCTCCTCTCCCTGTGACCACCAGAACGGAGCCCCCCACCCCTCCCAGCGGCCACCCCGGCAGGTCCAAGGGGTCCAGCTCCATCCCCGCTCCCGACTGCTCCCATTCCCTGCCGATCCCAGGGATGGTGGCACCAGCGCTGCCCGCGCACCTGGCAGAGCCTGGCACGATGGAGCGCGCGTCACCTCCCGCTCTCAGGGGACATTTCCCGAAAACAAAGACAGCGATATTATCTCCTCCCCACCCCCCCAAAAAAATCTCCAAACAGCCCAAATCCCCCTGCTCTGCCTCACCCCCTTCTCCTCGCAGCAGGACCCTCCCGCTGCCCCCTGCTCTCCATCCCCCTCTCCCCCAGCTCCATCTCCGCTCGGAGCTGGCACAGCCGAGCCCGGCTCTCCCTTCCAGCCTCACGTACCTGCCCTTTCCCGGCGCTCCGGGCCCCGCTCTCCGCCGCTCCGGGCTCGGCCGCCCGCTCCAGCCCCGCCGTCCCGCCCTGCTCCGGAGCACGCCAGGGAATGGAGCCTGGGCTGGGAAAACTTCGCAAAGCGAAAGGAAAACATCCAAGCTCAGCCAGGGAAACGCTTTTTTTTTTTTTTTTTTTTGCTCTTTCTTTCCTCTCTCTCTCTTTTTTTTTCCCCTGCCTGCCCAGGCACTGGCTCCGCGGCTGCCGGGGTCCTAATTAGAGGCTTTTTAGCCTAAACCTCGGGAGGCAGCCAATGGCTGGAATTCCAGGGCAGGCAGGGAGGGGAAAAGGGGGGGGGGACATTAACCCTACAGGGGAAAGAGCTGCCGATGACATCTGGCTCGCTCCTACCTCTCATTTTCCGAGCGCCCGCGCCCTTCCCTCCATCTGCGGCTCGGTTCACCCCAGGTTGCCGTTTGATGACTTTTTATGATCCCGCGCGGTGATTTATTTCCCTGCCGAGATCAGAAAGAGTTGAAGCTTCATGAAAGAGGGGGAAGTGTCATTACACCCCAATTTAGAGGTGGAGAAACTTTGGCTGGGCTCTCACAAAGGAGTTAGCCAGCGGCAAGTCAGGATGTCCCAGTTTCCACAAGCCCTGCACACCTGACGAGGCTCCTCCAGACTGCAGCAATTCCACCCAGGCAGGAGTCAGGGGAAAATTGATCAGAGCACGGCGTCCTGCTGGTGTTCCTGTGCATTTCTCACCACGCTGTAAGATTTTCCTGCCTGCTGATGTGGCTTTGGGGATGAGAACTGACACAGCATCCCCCAAAAACCCCCCAGGTCTGCAGGGACCAGGCTGGATCTCTGCCACCTGCGTGGTCCTGGGAGCTGTGGCTGGTTTTGGGAGCCCTGAGGGGTGCAGATGGCTCGTGTTGGTGCTGGGATCAGGGCTGGGAGTGCAGCCAGAACTCACAGGGGTGGTGATTTGGCAGAGGAGGTGCCAGGCTCCGTGACAAGCCCGTGGCACTGCTGGGTGAGGCCGTGCAGGGCGGTGCTGGGCACAGGCTGTGGTGCTGCTTTATGGAAGCGGTTGCCCCATCCCAAGGTCAGGTTGGATGGGGTTTGTGATGCTTTCTTAGGATTTTAGCTTTTATCTTTTCCATACATTTATAATCCTGTAATTCTTTAGTGTATAATTCTAAACTCCTCGCACAGTGTCAGCTGCTGCTTTCCCATTTTGACACAACGATTCCTCTCCAGGCCTGGGAATCAACACCACCTCAGTGCCTCAGGCCCTGAGAGATCAACAAAAGTGATTTATTTAGGGGGAGCAAACTTGGGGTCAACGACTTCATTACCTGAAGCTGTAATTGGGAAATTAACCTCCAATATACAAATGGCCCAAACTTATAAAAGTGTGAAAACCCCATGACCCGTGCTCCATTTTTGGGTGGGCTTCATCTGCCCTAAATGTACCCTAAAGGCCTTTCAATAAATAAATAAATAAATAAATAAATAAATAAATAAATCTGCTCTTTATTTTCTCGATTTTATTTGATCTCTGTTTTTAGGCAGCCGGGATAAGGAGCAACCTGGGATATTGGAAATTGTCCCTTTAAAAAGGATTTTTAAAGTCCCCTTCCAACCCAAACCATTTGAGGATCCTCTGCACAATCCCCTGAGCAGGGGGAGAACCAGGAGGAGGAAGAGGAGGGGGGGAGCACCCCCATGCTGCTCTCCCCCCTGTGCAGGGGTCCCAGCGGGGCTGGCACTGCCCGGGGTCCCCGTGAGGTCCCCGATGTCCCCACGCTGTTGTCCTGGTCCCTGCAGCTTTATCTTGGCCCCGTTGCTGTTGGACTTTGTCCCCGCGGGTGGTGACAGGGCCCCCCCTCGTCCCCTGCTCCCCCCATGCTCCTCCATCCCTCCCCAGGGCGGAAAAATTCACGGGCAAAGTCCTCCTTGGGCACCGGGGGGGGACACAGAGGGGTCACCGGGGCTTTCCCGAGGTGGCATCGGCCACTGCGCCATGGCAACAGCCCGGGGGTGGCCCCAGTGTCCCCAGAGAGGGCAGGGACAGCAGGACACGCTCGGTGGCGCTGGGATGAGGAGCTGGCAGCTCCCCCGACGCCCCTCTAGAGTGTGCCTCAACTCCCGACCCCCCAAATCCCCCTGCGCTGACCCCCGAGGGCATCCTTCCATCCCAGACCCCCCAAATCCCCCTCCCTGACCCTTCCTTGAGAAACCTCCTGGCCCTGAGCCCCCCAAATCCCCCTGCATTGACCCCCAGCCCTTCTCCCTCCCCAGTTCCCCTCCACCGATCCCCCTTGAGCATCCCCCAAACCCAGACCCCCAAACCCTCTCACTGACACCCCAAACCTTCCCCAGACCCCCCAAACCCTCTCACTAACCCCCAAAACTTTCCCCAGACCCCCAAACCCTCCACTGACCCCCCAAACCCTCTGTGACCCCCCCAAACCCTCCACTGACCCCCAAATCCCCTTCCCCAGACCCCCCAAACTCCTGTCCATCCCCTTCGCCCTGACCACGCCCACATGACCAGGCCCACCCAAGCCCCGCCCACCAGGCCCCGCCCCCTCGGCGCCGCCGCGCCCCCCTGGCGCCCCCTGGCGGCCTCGCGGCGCTGTCGCGGTGTCGCTGCTCCGGCGGGCCCGGCCCGGCCCCGATCGCTCCGGGCCCCACCGGGGACCCCCGGACCCGCCGGGCCGGGCAGGGCCAGGGCCGGGCCGGGGGCCCCGACACGCTCCGGGCCCCGGGAAGGGCCGGGCCGGGGGTCCCGACACGCTCTGAGCCCCGGGAAGGGCCGGGCCGGGGGCTCCGGGCCGCAGGTCCCGGACGGCGGAGCCGGGAGCGCCTCAGGTACCGAGCAGCGCCCGGAGCGCGGCCGCGGCATCGCCCCCGTCCCCCTCCCCTCGTGCCCTCCCCGGGCTGCCCCGGCCGCCCCTCGCAGCCAATTCCCCGGGAGCCCCCCGAGACTCGCCCCTTCCTCAGGGCCCTCGCTCCCACGGGCTCTGCAGGCCCGTCCTCCTCCCTCCATCCCCTTCCTCCTCCCTCCATCCTCTTCCCCATCCCTCCATCCCCTTCCTTATCGCTCCATCCCCTTCCCCATCCCTCCATTCCCTTCCTTATCTCTCCATCCCTTTCCTCATCCCTCCATCCTCCTCCCTCCATCCCCTTCCTCATCCCTCCCATGTCCCTGCAGCCCCATCCTCCTCGTCCCTGCAGCCCCTTCCACCTTCCTCCATCCTTTTCCCCATCCCTGCATCCCCTTCCCCATCTCTGTATCCCCTTCTCCATTCCTACATCCCTTCCCCATCTCTGCATCCCCTTCCCAATCTCTGCATCCCCTTCCCCATCCCTCCATCCCTTTCCTCCTCTCTCCATCCCCTTCTTCCTCCCTGCAGCCCCCTTCCCATCCCTCCATCCCCCTCCTCTTTCCCCCATCCCCTTTTTGCCCCTCCTGCCCCCAGAGCTGTCCCCCTGCTCCCCCTCCTTTTCCTGGCTCTGTCCCTGTGTGTCCTGGAGGGGCTGATGTGGGTCCAGGTGCTTTTCCACACGTGGTGTCCGTCTGTCCCTGTGCAGGGGGTGTCAGGGTGCCCCCCTGACCCTTTGGGATTAGGGGAACTTTCTCCAGCTCTGGCTTTAAGGACGGTGAAGGCACGAGGGGCTTCTGCAGCCTGGGGGGTTCGGGAGGATGGGAACCACCTGGGAATTTGGGAGAGGCTGCTCCAGGCAGGGCTGAGGAGGGTTTGGGTCGGGATCCTGGGAGTCTGGGTGGGGCTGGTGGCCTTAGGAGGGAGCCAGCCCTGCTGTGGGGACCCTGCTGGGCTCTGGGGGTGGTTTTAGGGACTGGCTGGGCTCTGAGCTGGCAAACAGGGCTGGGGGGGGTGAGCTGGAAGTGCAGAGCAGGAGCCTGGGGAGTCGGGAATCTCAGTGGCTGTGTGGAAGGGATGCTGATGAAAAATTCACCAGTGAGGAGCAGGGGGAAGCACGCAGGGAGTGCTCAGGGATCTCCTGGTGGTTTTTTTAATTCATTTGTTCGATTCTCAGTGTAAAAACTGTCCTTGGTAAGCCACAGCACTTCAGGCCGACCCCTCACAGATGGAGGTGGAGGGAGAGGAGTGCAGGAAGAGGAGAAAAGGCAGAAGGTTTTCTCCCAGCTCCTATTCCTGAGGGAATTGCTGGGGTGGGACTGGGAGAGCCCAGCCAGAGAGGAGCCAGCCCCCAGTGCCCAGATGAGCTGGAGCAGGATCTGTGCTAAATTCCTGTGAGGGGAATGAATAAACCCCTGCAGAGGCCAGGAGGAGCAGCAGCAGGCTGGGGCAGGGCGTGGGGTGGCACAGGGAAGGGCTGGGGCTGCTCTAGGGCTGGCAGGTGTGTGCAGGAGGGCACCTGGCACCGCCTTTGTTTGTTCTCAGCTCGCACAGAAAGAAACTTTCCTCTCTCCTGGGCACTTGGCAGGGCTGGGGCACGGTGGGGAATTCTGCAAGGGCCGAGAGGTGCAGTGGGAGGTGATTTATGGAGCTGTTTTTGATGTAGAAATGGAATGGGACCCTTGGGCAGCTCTGCCCCCTCCCTCCACACTGGAAGGGGCCCGGGGCAGCTCTGCCACTCTGTGAGCTGTGGTTTCATTGGGAGGAGGGGGAGGCAGAGTCTGGCAGAGGGAGAGACTTGAAATGGAGAGAGATTTCCAGTGGAAAGAGGTTCCAGTGGAAAGAGGGTCCCGATAGAAGATGTTTCCAATGGGAAAAAGTTTGCAATAGAAAGAGGTTCCAAGGGAGAGAGGGTTTCGAATGGAAAGAGGGTCCCAACGGAAAAAAAAGCTTCCAATGAAAGAGATTTCCAATAGAAAGAGGTTCCCAGTGGAAAGAGATTTACAATGGAAGGAGGTTTCCAATAGAAGGAGGTTCCAAATGGAAAGAGGGTCCCAAATAGAGAGAGATTTTCAAATGGAAAGAGGCTCTCAATGGAAAGAGATCCCAAATGGAAAGAGGGTCCCAAATAGAGAGAGGTTTCCAAATGGAAAGAGGCTCCCAACAGCAGGAGGGTCCCAGATAAAGAGGTTTCCAATGGAAAGAGGCTCTCAATGGAAAGAGATTCTAAATTGAAAGAGGTTCCCAATGGAAAGAGATTTCCAATGGAAGGAGATTTCCAATGGGAAGAGGTTTCCAATAGAAAGAGGTTTCCAGTAGAAAGAGAGCCCCAAATAAAGAGGTTCCCTATGAAAGAGGCTCCCAGTGGAAGAAGTTTCCAGTGGAAGGAGGTTTCCAATGGAAGCAGGTTCCCATGGAAAGGGGGTCCCAAATAAAGAGGTTTCCAATGGAAAGAGGTTCCCAAAGTGCCATTTCCTGCCCTGGTGCCAGGCTGGGGATCCTGGTGGATCAGGTGGAGACACTGAGCTGCTCTCAGGGCACACCTGGCATCATCCCCTGTCACCTGCCCAAGTTCCCATCAGGGACAGCAGAATTTCCCATTTCTCACTACAATTAAAAAAAAAACCCAGGAATATTTCTCACTGTGAGTGCAAAACACAGGAGTGCTCCTCACTGCCTCCCTGCCTGATCCTTGCACTGACTGGGTCAGATATCAGAATTTTGGTGTTTCCTGGGTCAGATATCAGAATTTTGGTGTTTTCTGGGTCAGATATCAGAATTTTGGTGTTTTCTGGGACAGATATCAGAGTTTTTTGTGTTTTCTGGCCTTTTTTTTTTTTTGCTTCTCCTCCTCCAAAGCAGAGCAGCTGCTGTTCCCTGACCCTGAAGGACCTTCCCTGCACTGAAGGCACCTTCACATTCCTCAGCAGCAGCAGCAGCTGCCTCACCACCCCTGGCTGCTCAGTTTTATTTCCTTCACCCTGCTAAACCCCACTCCTCTCTAGGATTCCAAAGCCAGGAAATAAAATGTATCTTAATTAATTTTTTTTTAAAAATTATTTTTAGCGGTGTGTTTTTCATCGTTGTGCAGAGTTTTCTGTGTTGATATAAATGTAATTAATTCAACACAAAATGCACCTGCTTTCCTTGGGTTGTCTGAAGGGAAGTTCAGTCACTCTCCCACCCCCTGCTTTTGAATTTTCTCTGCTTTTATCATTGTTTAATTGTGTTCTCCTTGCCAGGTGGAAGATGGGAGTGTTCCCCTCCTGTTTTAGGTGAAACCTGCTTGCCATGAAATCCCGAGGGAGGTAGAGGGACTGCAGTGGGAATTCCTTCTCACTCCTCCACAACAAATCCAACAGCTGCCTAATGGTAAGAGTTGGTTTTAATTAACATTTATGGCATTAATCAAGGAGCAGAGCAAAGAGTTGGAACTCCAGACTCACAGGGATGGGGAGGGCACAGCTGGACAGGGTGGGAGAGGTGGATTTTGGGATTTGGGGTCTGATTGTGCCACCTTTTGTGTCCTGTCCCCAGGGATTGCCTCTCTGCCTGGCGTCATGGGGAGCTGCTGCAGCTGTCTGTGCCCAGACAGCATCCCAGACAACCATCCCACCAAATTCAAGGTAAATTTTTGTTCTTCCAGCCCCATCAGAGGGTCTGGGACAGCTCTGACTGCACGAGGGGAGAGCAAACTCCTACACACAAGCATTCCTCCAGAGGATTTGCAAATTCATCATTTCTAGCGATGAATTTGGGTTTTTTTTCCTTTTATTTTCCTCCCTTTCCTTAAGAAACTCCTGCTGAAAAAGCATTTGTTGCTAAATTGCCTCTGCTTGGGAAATGCAAGGAAATGGGGGACTGGAGAGAAAAACCTTTTATTGCTCAGGGCTGTGTTCCAGAGCCTGGGCTCAGCCACAGCAGCTGAGCTGCCAAGGGCTGCCAGCTCCTGCCAGCCACAGGTCCCTGCTGGCAGCTGGGAGAAAGGCAGCAGGAAACGGGGGGAAATCCATGGAATTGCAGGAAATGGGGGAAATCCATGGAATTGCAGTGCTTGGAGCTGCTCAGGGACACCTGGGAGCCCTGTCCAGCTCTGGGTCCTCACGGCAAGGGAGATGTGGAGGGGCTGGAGGGAAGGGAATGGAGCTGGAGCACCTGGAGAAGGGTCTGGAGAGTCCTGAGGGAGCTGGGAAGGGGCTGAGACTGGAGAAAAGGAGGCTCAGGGGGAATTTGGGATTTTATCCCAGGGAACAGGGACAGGAGGAGAGGGAACGGCCTCAGGCTGGGCTGGGGAGGTCAGCGATGATGAGAGACTCTGAGAGATGGTCAGAAGAATCCAAATTTATTGTGGACTAAAAATCCAAATTTATTGTGGACTACCTATGCTCATATACTATTTTGGGAAGGCTAGAAATGTTTAACTACAATGATTGGGTTAATAATCATATAAACAAACTTCAGCATTTTACAGCATCTCTCTCTTGCAGAAATCTTGGTGTAATTTTCTTATCCACTAAGTCAGCCTGGTTTAATCTTCTTGCAATCTTCAAAGCTGTTTGTTCTTGCCAAGGCATCCTGATTATCAAATCTCTTATGCTAATCAGGCCCAAAGTCCTGTGTGTCCCAAAAAGGGGAGGTTTGGGCTGGAAATCAGGAGGAATTTCCTCATGGAAAGAGTGGCCATGCCTTGGAAGTGCCCAGGGAGTTCCCCACAACTTTCCCCAATCATTGTTCTTGGGGAAGGCTGCGAGAAGATCAGAAAAAAAGAATGAAAACCAATTCTGATCTTAACTTTTCCACCCGTTACCGTGAACACGCGGAATGCGTTACGGAGATAACAGAAGGGCGGTTTCTTAATTAACCACCGTTAATTTGTTAATTAACACGGGCGTCCCTGCAGGTGACCAACGTGGACGACGAGGGGCACGAGCTGGGCTCGGGGGTGATGGAGCTGACGCGGCGGGAGCTGATCCTGCACTCGCACAAGCGCGACGCCGTGAGGTGGCCGTACCTGAGCCTG